CTCAATGGGTCGATTTTATAAAGGAACCATATGGTAACGTGGTCGCTAGCTTTGGCGAAACACAGAGAACTGACGAAAACAAAGAGCAAAACCGTTTAACAACCGTTTGCAAAGGCTTACGACTGTTTTGCAAACGCTAACGACTGTTTTGCAAACGCCTGCAACTGTTTGCGGAAAAATAAATTCGCAAAGAAATTTTGAACATGTTCAAAATTTCTTTGCGACAAGAAAAACTGTTTACAACAAAGAAAACTGTTTGCGATCTTTCTTGCAACCTTTTACAACATTTTACAAACTCTGGCGAAACCCCAAATTCGATACGTTCGCAAGCATTCGCCGCTCAGTGGATTGTTAGCGAGTTATTGCGAGTGCCTCTTTGAGGAAACTCACCACAACTCGCCATAACTCGCTAATACAACTCGGCTAAGTGGGAGCCCTGCTTAACTCTTTACAACATTCGATGACTCTCCTCGAAGTCGCGAGCAGTTCCAAAATTTTGAACATGTTCAACATTTTTCCCCGATTCGTTGTAATTCGAGGTGAACTCGCCTACACTCGTAATATTATCGCATTACTCGTAACAAGCTCGCGCTGCACTCTTCATGAGGTGGCGAGTTGCTACGAGTATATTACGAGTGTTTAAGCAAGTTCACCTCGTGCTAAAACGAATCAGCGAAAATTTTGAACCTGTTCAAAATTTTCACTGATTCGTTGCTACTCGAGGTGAACTCGCTTACACTCGTAATATACTCCCATTACTCGTAACAAGCGCGCGCTGCACTTTTCATAAGGTGGCTAGTTTATGAAGAGTGCAGCGCTTAATGCCTCAGTCACACCTTTGCGTATTGGGCTTGCGTATTGCTGCGTATTGCCCGAAGGCAGACATAGGCAGTCATACCCAATAAAGCGCAATAAAACGTGCTCCCTGCGTACTCAATACGCAGACTAGCGCAAAGGCCTGCGTTTGCCGCTCGCTAGTTTTAAATTTTTCTAAACTATCGCAAGCAAACGCAAGGTCAAATCACGAGCGGATACGAGTGGCAACCAGTGAATGCGAGCAACAGCGAGTGGCTTAGCGCAAGTATACGCAACCATACGCACCTCTTTTTTTTGGAGCGCGTGTCACTTCCTATAGCTGCGTTCCCTGCACGATTTACCTCGCCAGAGCTCGTTGTCGGTCGCATGATTGCGCGTATTGTTGCGCTGTTGCTCGCCTACCACTCGCAGCAGCAAGAACTGTTGCAATTGCCGCTCGCTACGCTGCGAGTCTAGCTCGTACGCCGTTCGCTTTAGCTCTCGATCTCTCACGGCGATTAGTTGCCTAGCACCGACCACCGTCGCTGCGCTGCATAACGTTAATAAATAAACATCATTCGCCTCTGCTTCTTCCAGCTGAACCAAAAGCTTAAGCTTTTTCAAGGCAGAGCTCTGCTGCAGGGCCATTTTTTTTCATTAGATTGATTTTTCTTAAGCCCGCAAAATGACTTTTATATACACCGTCGCAGCCCAAGCGAGCTGGTACGCTGTTGAGCGAGCTGGCACGCAGCAGTACGAACAACAGACGAGCTAAAGCTAGCGAACACGCAGTGAGACGCAACGAGACGTGCTGGTGCGAGCGGCTAGCGAGCAGCACACGAGCAAAGAACCAGTTACATACGCAATGTGGCGAGCAAACTGCGTATTGAATCGTACTGCTATGAGCAACAGCGAGCTATAGCGTGGTCATAGGCAACCGTAGGCAGTCTTAGTACGAGCGGCATACGAGCTACCTACGAGCTAGATAGGCAATAGTGTGACTGCTACCTTCAAATTTGCCGCGTTTTGCTGGGAACGGCTGCGTATTAATATACCCCGCACAGCGCAGCAATACGCAACACCATACGCAAAGGTGTGACTGAGGCATTACATGACGTATGTTGCAACTCGGTAAAGGGTTACCGCACTTTATTAGGGACTTTTAGATTTGCACGTCGACAGCTTTGACTGTAACGTGTGACGTCATTTTAAGGCACTGCGCATGCGTCACGTCGTCTCAGTCGGCGATCGAGAATGCGTCAACCTTGATTTTCCTAAATCTAGTACGGTACTAGTATATGCCGCGTGCGCATAAAATATATAGTTCCTCAGGTAGACAAAGGAACATCCCTTCCCTGCTATTATGTAAAAATGTGTAGAACAGATGTCACGTGCATAATTACCTGTTCTACACATTTTTACATAATAGCAGGGATGTTCTACCACAGCAATAGGCCAGTTTCGTAATGTAACCAAATTTAATGCATACGTCTTTGTGAAGTGCCTCGATACAAATTATATCATTCACCTGATAAGACTAATAGTATTTCAATACTCATAATGCAACTGCATATATTAAGTGTTGCTAGGTAGGTCAAGCCATAACGTTTGTCCAACCTGGCAACAACTAATGTATGCAGTTCGGATTCTGTCTATTGAAATACTATTATTCTTATCAGGTGAATAAAATAATTTGTATTGAGGCACTAGCATTAAATTTGGTTACATTACAAAAGTGGCCTATTGTTGAGGATAGAATGAGGAACTGTATATTTTGTCCTCTTTCTTTGTTCGTCACTTCCTGCATGCATGTATATCGTCGATCTGAAAGATTTCTAATTGTAGTCAACATGGCAGTTGAGTACGTTGACACGCATGATCAGTCGGCGTTCGTCGTGTTCTCGTCCACTCAATCTAAAAGTCCCTATTATCTGTGATATCATTCCATCATGAAAGGTAAATATGTGCATTGTTCAAAAGAAGCGCAAAACACCTTTCAAGTCTATTTCAGATCAAAAGAGTTTTTGCATGATTGGATGTGGTTTCTGCATAATTGTGTGACGACAACCCATACAGTGCCATTACAGCACTATTAGTTCAGACCCTGCAAGTAAATCCCATACATTCATTATTACACCTGGTATTCTAAGAGTTAATTTCTTTTAGAGATTTCCCTTTTGATTAGGAAGGCGCCTGTTTTTGACATCGTTTCAATACTGACGGGGGTATCAGCATGTTTACACTCTATGAACTATATCTCTTTGTTATTCAGTTTGGGACAAATCCGTATGGTATTTTCAGTGGTACTTCCGAATGATATACTATTGGTATACCATTGAACATTTTTTTGTAAGGGCAGCTTCATTAATAATTGTTAATTGTTTACGATCAGATAAATAACTTGATAAAAGTTCTAAAGGTGTGCCCCTAATAATGTAATATTTCAATTTTTGTAATAAAATAGAATTTATAAGCTGCTTTAATTAACAATAACAGATGTTCATGTAAGCAAATGTATAATAATGTACATCACAGAGTCATATGAGTGGGACCACAGGCACAAAACAGCAATTACTCACGGTAAAGAGACACATATCAGATCCAAAATTACTCCAAATTGAAGAAAAAACTAAAGATCCATTATTGTTCCTGAGGGCTAGAATATTATTCCTTGCAGTTTGTCAGCTTTGAAACGTTGATCATGAAGAAAAATTCGCGAAAAATAAAGCGAAATCACAGAGCAAATTGTAGTTCAAAGTATAAGGGACACCTAGTTTTCTCAAAGTCACTACCAGTGAAACACCATTGACCATACAATTATACCATTAAAACACCATTGACCATACAATTCCACCATTGAAACACCATTCATCATACAGACTCTACCATTGAAACACCATTGACCATACAATTCCACCATTGAAACACCATTCACCATACAGACTCGACCATTGAAACACCATTCACCATACAGACTCTACCATTGAAATACCATTCACCATACAGATGCCACCATTGAAACACCATTGACCATACAATTCAACCATTAAAAAAACACCATTCACCATACAGACTCTACCATTGAAATACCATTCACCATACAGATGCCACCATTGAAACACCATTGACCATACAATTTAACCATTGAAACACCATTCACAAATACAGAATACACCATTGGCACACCATTGAACATACAATTCCACCATTGAAACACCATTCACCATACGGACGCCACCATTGAAACACCATTGACCATACAATTCCACCATTGAAAAACCATTGACCATACAGACTCTACCATTGAAACACCATTCACCATACAGACTCTACCATTGAAACACCATTCACCATACAGACGCCACCATTGAAACACCATTGACCATACAATTGCACCATTGAAACACCATTCACCATACAGACTCTACCATTGAAACAACATTCACCATCATGCACCACCATTGAAACACCATTCACCATACCGAATCCACCATTGGCACACCATTGACCATACAATTCCACCGTTGAAACAACATTCACCATACAGACGCCACCATTGACCATACAATTCCACCATTGAAACACCATTCACTATACAGACTCTACCATTGAAACACCATTGACCATACAATTCCACCATTGAAACATCATTGACCATACATTGTAAAGGGAAAGAAGTATGAACTGCTTATGTTGAAGGGGTGTGGCGTTGGCGCCGACAATTGAAAAAAGCATTGATACCCCTCCCTGCCGATTGTGTGGTGGCGTTTCTCGAATTAGTTTTGTATATATAAGCCTTTTGACCTAATGAATGATACAAATGAAAACTAATATGACAAAAATGGGATTTTTCGCATCTCGTGCATCTTATTTCACTCTCTTAGAGTTCTAGGGAATTAGCAAAGCAAAGGGCAGACATTCAATTATCAATTGGGACATTTTCATTCTATTGATATCATTCATCAACATTTTCTTGCTACTTATGTGGGGTTATTTCCGTTGATTAAAGCCGTACTGTATCAGAAGCACTACCCTTAATCCCATCTAGCGCTATCTCATGTCAACTGTAGCAGTATGTCCCGTAATTCGCTGCTTCCCTAGCTGCGCTGTTGGTTCTCGCATCGAGACCGTTGTCTGCGCAGTTAGGCATTGGGTTATGCGCTATTGGAAAGTTGTCCTTGAGATGGTGTTGTGCAATAAACAGGATGCTAGGGCAGAAAGTCCACCCGTTCAGAGGTAGAGGAGGGGGGGGGGGGGAGTGACATATTTTTAATAAGCGGTTGATTAGAGGACTTGCGATTGATTTGATTTGGATCAGTCGCATCTCTTTGTGAGACAGGGCCCTGATTACATAAATGTATCATAGAGCACTTTGAAAACCATTTGAACACTTTATCCGGTGTCATTATGATGCCATGCTAGATTGTTATCGGCAGAATTCTACAAGCTTGGATATAGGCCTACCATGCAAACATTGTCTCAGTCATGCTCTTGTACTTCCACTCTACAAAGAAGTGAAGTTTTTTGGAACTTACCGATTTGAATATAAGATGCTTATGCAGGTGCGTACGCAGGATTTTTTTCAAGGTGGGGGGGGGGGGGGGGGGTTAACATTTTTAAATCGGGTCGAAAATTTCGCAACGACTCAGCCAACCGCTGAATAAAGGGGGGGGGGGGGGGTAAGAGGACACTTTTTTTTGGCCAGCCGCTGAATAAGCGGGGGGGGGGGGGGGGGGGGGGGGGGGGATAAGAGGTCACTTTTTATTTGGTCCCCTAAAATTGCAACGACTCAGCCAGCCGCTGAATAAAGGGAGGGGGGGGGGGGAGGAGACATTATTTTTGTATTGGTCTCGAAATTTGAAAAATTTGACCTTTTGCTCCGTTGGGGGGGGGGGGAGGGGGGGTTTGGTCAACTTTTTTAGGTCAGCCATTGGTATAATTTTTTAAATTTTATAATAGAACTAAAAAAAACAAAGGGGGGGGGGGGAGGTTTCCTCCAAAATACACACATCAAAAATACCAAGTGGGGGGGGGGGGGGGGGCTTATGATTACTAGAGGTAATGTGAGAACTTGGTGTTTCAAAGAACTTATTATGTGTGCGTAACATCTCATTATTCTATTAAAACCATAATGTGATAGTAGGTTTGATATTTCTTAAATTTAAGTACATGTATCGAAATTGAGATTTAAATTATAAAATTATTATCAATCAATCATCAATTATAAAACATGCACGGTTTTCTATCTTTTACTACCTTTCACTCATAAATTTCTCTCACGTATTTGCTATCAATATAGGTAGGGATAAAGAGAGGGAATTGCATTAGCCCTTCCATTTTTTCTGGTAGCTACGCCAATGCTGATTGATTATTGAACTGTAGTTGCATATGTATTGGACTGTATGTTTTTTTGTAATGTGTGGATTTTTTGTATTCGTTGTAACCAGTGGAATAGATGCGGGGGTATGGGGGATGTTCCACTTCCCTCTTGATAAGCAACATCTTTTAAAGATCAGAGGAAGAAGAAAAAACCATAAAGAAAGAAGATAATAAGACAACCTTTCACACGTACTGAACATTATTCCTAAGTATTAAGATCGATGCCCCCTGTCTTTCTTGATGCCAGTTCCCCCTTGATCGCAGGAAATATGCCATGCTTCTGGTTGGGATGTACATATTGAATTGAATTTTCTTTTTATTCAAATACCCAAAACATGAAAAACAAACTAACAATCTAAAATTAACACACTAACCTATTGGGGTTGCAAACAAGATATAAATATATATATTTGTATCTAGGGTTCTCCTCATTCCTAATGTTTCTTTTATATTTTCATTGATAGTTTGTTAACATCACAATCCACTGATTTTTAAGTTCATGAAAGGAAATTTAACTTGATGTCAGAGAAAAGCCCCAATGAAAATGTTAGAACATGTGAGAATTCTTTTTTTTCATCCCAGGGATTAAAAAGAGATGCCCCTCATCTTCAATTTTTGACATGATCCAAACGAAAGCTTGCTGCTAATTGATGTATATTTAAAAGTTTAGATGCAGAATTCAATATTGTTTTTGAATAACGTAGTGCATTTTGGCAAGGTATATGTTACTAATTACACAGAAAACAATATTTGGATCTGTACACAAAAATAGGCATCAAATAATGCTTTTATCTTTATGGTGGGCATATGAGTGCGTTGATAACGCCATCTTCGGCGACTTGATACGATTACTGACGTGATGCCAGTTGTGTGATTATAATAAAGCAAGAGAGGCCCAATCGACGTTCCATTGCTGACAAGAGACTCTTTGGACAAGTGGAGTTTGATTTAGCGCAAAGGATCATGAACTCAAGTTGGAAATGAGTGTTGCATTTTTCAAAGACTAGATGGTGCGTATAACAAGAATAATTTAGCTTCTGTCAAAGTGAGGCGTCATTAACTGGAGAGTCTATTATAATAATTTTCTATTGGCTCTAATGGCAGACAGTGGATAGTGTGTTTTGGTATATACGAAATTTTTAACTGCATTGGTTCGGAGCGTTTGGAAGTGACAGTTTTGTCCTTGCTCTTTTCAAAGGCTGTTTACTGACAATATTAGAACTTTGTGCGTTGAGATTCTATTGGCACACAACAGTTTTTGAGTTTGAATAACCACCTTCATCAATACATCACCTAACATCTCATCCCTCTCATCTACCACTATGCCTGTAATCTGCCAAATATCTTCTTGGAGTTTGTTCCATCTTACCAAAAGCATCTCATCCACCAAGGACACTCCTGCATCAGGTCCAGGACAAGACCGATGCCTTCAAGATGATCAGCAAGACATTGGGGCTGTCAGGTCCCCACCCTGTTCTCCCCAAAGACAATCAAACAGTCTTCCAGAAAGATCACCTGTCCATGATCAACCAGAAGTGTGTAGCTTCAGGAGAACAGTTACTGCTTCCTCAAAGACACCTCTGCCACGTTCAAAACATAGCAGTCGCCGAACAATCTCTTGTTCATCACCTAAACCTAAAGTCACCTTTGGATATTGTAGGAGTGCAAATACAAGAACATGTCTCACTATTCAAGGTGCCATAGCGCTTGTTCTAGCCATGTTATCATCGTCTGCAATTCTGACTGCTGGTATGTTTTATCATATCTTTAAAAGTGAAAAGCTTGGTAAAATCCTTGACATGTGTATTACATCTTGTTCTGTTGGATGCCTTTGTGTACAAATTTACTCTAATTTCCAGAATATGGAGGATGCACACGTACAATTATATATACTTTTGATTGAGAAACAATAAATAAATGAATACAATAGTACCATTGTTGCTATTTTTCGTACTGTCTGTGGTGACAAAAATAGAGCTAAAATGCATTTCTTTTCTTGTTCATTTTATGGTTTAATGCATGTATGCATCATATCATTCCTATTGCTGCATTACTTTGAAATAATTAAGTGCTCATCCATATCCAACAGGTTTTGTTGAAATCATTATTAGATTTTTCTCTGTTAGTCAGGTGTGTAATGTTATAAGAACCCTGGTACATGTACATGCAATTTTAAGAAATGCATGATTTCTAAGGACATGATTATTTTACATGTTTGTGAATATTGTATAAATAATCTGATTTTCTGCACTTATCATGCAGCTACTTCTCATTTCAAACTTGTTCTGATTTGGGTGGTCTGTGTACAAAAAAAAGTTCCAGTTAGGATGGCTGGTGTGCTCTTCAAATTTGTGATTATATCAGATCTAGTCTTCAGACAAATGTTTGTGTATCAGCTTAAACCAAGATTATTCTAACCAATGAAAGATTCCATTGATTTATAATTGAATAAAGGGGATGTTAATGTACATAATCCAGAATTTACTTCACCATCAACATCATCGTGACCATTATGATCATCATCGGCGTTGTCATCATCATCGTCATCATGCCACCAGATTTACATTGTTAAAATATTATCTTGTTAAATATATCCATCTTTTAATTTGACACCACCCTTCTACAATGTTTTAGAAAACTGAGACAACTTTTTCGGACCAATCACTTCCGCATTTACATGTATGTTTAAGAACTCCAGTTTATGCATGTAGATTCCAATCTAGAATTTTGGATAATGGAGAAATTTAATTGAGAAAAAGGCCTTTTCATTGACTTCAAATGCAAGAGAGTACAAAGTCCATGAGCTATTATGTTGTCACCTCACAATTGATATTTATCATATCTTTTATTACATACCAAAAGGTGATCAAAACCAATCAGGTTGGATACATATATGAGCACCCTGGATTGATTTTCAAAGAGCAATTCTCATGAAATGTGAAATGTTTCTTACCACAATAGTTTGCTACGTTAGAAAATCCTTTTTTTTATTGTAATCATTCTCATAGATATCAGTCAAGTAACTATAAATGTTTTAAACATTTTTAGGACTGAATGGCCGGGACAATTTTTGCTGCAGTCCTTTTAAAAAGAGAATCAACAGTACCTTGACAATTTAATAGGTTTTGTAGACGTCATCCAATCATTCTACAAACTTGGGCTTGGTTTAGTTTCTAAACTTTTTATATCATTTTTAAATCTTTAGTAATATCTTCACTATTTTTTAAAGAAAATGTACTTTTAGATCCCAGAATGATTACCGGTATGATATAGCTCTAAGATGTTTCTGTATCTACACATGCTACTGATAACCATTTACATGTACCAACATAATGTCATTATAATTTTAAGTGTAATTCCTTTTTATAATAATCTTTGGCACTTTCAAAACTTATGTTTCTTAATACTTGGTTCACGATCTGTGTGATCCTAACCCATGTTTGAACAAAAATTTGGTAACATACAGTAGGACTTGATTGCTTGTTAATATGTTTGTTTCTCGGGACATAGTTAATTTTCATTAAGGAATATTGAATTATTTTTTGAGTGTTGAATTATGCAACATACAGTGTATCATTATATTTTCTTGTTTATTCAACATTGTGAGAAAGGAAACATATACAATAACATTAGAACTGTAAGATGTCATTGTCACAATCAACTGTGATACTGTACATGCATGTACTGTTCATGTACTGACCTACATGTACAATGGACTAACATTATACTTAGTGAATTGCCATTCACTTTTAAATATATAGAACTAAAGAAATACAAATGCGGAAGTGAAATTCCTTTCAAGATATATTATCTAGACAAAATAACATATTTTTATTAGTTTAATGAGGGGAAATATTTTATTGTGCATTCCATAATTTGTTATCAAAATAATATTCATTATTAAATTTTATCAGATTATTAGGTCAGGATCAATATTGTGTTAAGTTTATCTATGAGCTAGATTACATAGAAATGCCCTCAAACTAATCATTTTCCAATACATTACACTCTGGAACCGTGTGGGTTGGTGGCTTGTTATATATCATTTATTATCTGAATGGTCAGGACGTTATTTCTATATTACATTTATAAGTACGATGCAGGAGGTATTTTGAAACGAATTTTATCTTTGAAATCTAGAATGAATGCCTGCAGTCACTGTTTAATTGGGACAAGCACTCTTTCCCTCTATATTCAACTACAAATATGATTCTTCAAAAACGATTAAATATCAATTTGCCTACAAATGTCATCGATCTACTTAAGTTTTAGGATTTGACTGTTTCCTGAAATGCCGTCAAAGAACATAACACCTAATTGCAAGTAGAAAAGAAATTGAATATTGGTCCATATTTTGTAAACAAAAGAATTCCCTTTTTAAAGGATTTCCTTTTTAAAGGATTTACATATTTCCTGAAATTGTATCCAAGAACATACACCTACATGTATTTACAAGCAGGAAATGTATATTAGAAGCCAAGTATCATTCCATATTATGTAAACAAGTGTTTTTCACTTTTAGATTTAAGTGCCTTCCCAAATGGTATCAAAGAACATTAATCTTTATTACAAGCATGAAAGAAATTGTAGAAAGCAAGTATGTAAATAAAAGGGATTCCTGTTTTACAGCCTGAGAAGATTTTTCTTGTTTTTCTGGAAAGGCCCATTCAATTAGTGACCGGAGGCATTTGTCATGCTCTATATAAATCTCCCTGACAGTTAACACTCGTCATAGACGCAGCTAGACCACAAACCTTTATAATTTGTTTCTCCCTTGTTAGGTTAGAAACCTCTACCTCAGCTTTTTGTTACAATTTTTTTTAATTTTTTTTTTATAGCAGCCATTAATTATGTGTAAGTAGATTGTTACACTGTAAAGAAGTTTTAAGAGTAGCTGACATTCTTTTGTTGTGTATATGTTTCATGAACAAATGTTCTTAGCTTTTAAACACTTTGTTAGTTGTTTCTAAACCCATAGACCCTGGAACCTGGATTTCCTTTAAAGTTTTAGGAGTCTTTTATAATAAGGGGTTATAATAATGTCAAAAAGTTACTATAAGTTTTAGAGGGTATACAAGAATCCTGGCACATGTAATTTTAAGAAATTTATGATTTCTAAGGACATGATTTTGTTACATTTATGTAAATGCTCTATATAATTAATCAGATTATGAATTTAATTGTCACGCAGCTACTTTTCATGTTCATGCTTGTTCTGGTTTTGGTGGTCTATGTACAAAAAAAAGTTCCAGTTAGGATAGCTGGTGTGCTCTTCAAATTTGTGATTATATCAGATCCAGTCTTCAGAAAAATGTGTATCATATTGTGTATCAGCTTAAACCAAGATTATGCTGACCAATGAGAGATTCCATTGATTTATAATTGAATAAAGGGGAAATTGAGATACATAATCCAGAATTTTCATAGTGATCATCATATTCATGATCATCGTCGTCGTCGTAGTCATCATCATCATCATGCCCCCAGATTTACATTGTTAACATTATCTTGTGAAATATATACATCTTTTTATTTTACACCACCCTTCTACAATGTTTTAGAAAACTGAGACAACTTTTTGGGACCAGTCACTTCCTCATTTACATGTATGTTTAGACTCCAGTTATGCATGTTGATTCCAATCTAGAATTTCGAAAACGAAGAGGTCGGTTAAAGGGAAAAAAGCCTTATCATGGTCTTCAAAGGCAAGAAAGTACAAAGTCCATGTGCTTTCATGTTGTCGCCTCGCAATTGATACTTATAATATCTTTCATCACATATCAAAAGTGATTAAAATCAACCAGGTTTGATACAAATACTAACACCGTTGTCTTTGATTGATAATCAAAGAGCAGATCTCATGAAAAGTGAAATGTTTTTTAACCAAAATAATTTGCCACATGTACTTTATAAAATTCCTTTTTATATTGTAATCATTCTCATGGATATCAGTCGAGTAACAATATATGTTTCAACATCTGTAGGACTGAATGGGACACACTTGGGCTTGGTTTAGTTTCTAAAATTGTCATATTATTTTGAAATATTTATTAATATCTTAACTACTTTATAAAGATTTTAGATTCCAGAATGATTACATGCTATAGCTCAAAGGAGTTTCTATATCTGCAAATGTAACTGATAAATACATTAACTTGAATCAAAATTCATTTAATTATTATTTTAAGTGTAATTCCTTTATAGAATAATCTTTGGCACTGTCAAAACTTATGTTTCTTAATACGTACTAAGATCACAATCTGTGTGATCCTAACCCATGTTTGAACAAAGGTTTGGTTACATACAGTAGAACATGCTTGTTTACGTATTTGGTTCCCAGTACATACTATACATGTAGTTACTTTCCATTGACGAATATTAAATTATTCTTTGATATTTCAACAATTTTAGCTCTTGAGTTGCATATCTGATGTATTTTTTTAATTTCAATTAGTAATGCAAATTATAAATTACAATTACTTATTAAATCAAATTACAATTGCAATTGCAATTAACAAGTAAAATTCCAATTACAAATTACAAATTTACAATTTACCAAAGACAATTACAATTACCAAATACATGTACAATTACAATTACAAATTCTATGAATTATCATATTCTTTTCTTCCCCATCAAGTCAGAATCCGTGCCACCCCAAAATCTTTTTCAACCAAGGAACATGTTTTGCTACCATTTGGCTTGCTTGTCTTCACTGGACACTTTTTATTTACAAATCTTTGTTTGTTAATTGAAACAATTAAGGCATTTACAAGTTTATGAATGGATACGTATACTTTACGTATGCTTACGAATTTGTAATTTACAAATGCAATGACAAATGTTTAACGATCAGGACAGACCCCATTCCCCTTCTGAACTGAGGAACATATTCTGGTAGTATATACATGTAGGAAGCTTATATACCCCTTGTGTGTACATCTATGTTCATTAGACACTGTTTATTTATAAATCTTTGATTGTTTATTGATGCTTTGAACATTATATTCTCTACCTATTCAGGTCAGAACCCGTGCGAGCCCAATCCATGTCTCAATCAAGGAGCATGTTCCGGTAGCATAGGAAATACAACCTTTACTTGCGTGTGTACAGCTGGGTTCTCCGGGCAGAACTGTGGCACAGGTATGTCCAGGAAAATGAGGAAATCTTAATTTTCTTTTCTTTTGGTTTGGAATTTTCATTCTTGTCTATACTTGCCGACTTGGTTTCTCATTTCATGAAGTGCTCTTTAAATTTGAGATTAAACACTGTGACAGATCCTTTTCTACTGCCAAAATATATTACATCAACCATGTCAATTATGGTTTTATTTTAAAACTTATTTCTAGAATCATTATTTACCATGCACTGCCATTTTTTTCAGCATGCCCCTTTATCGTTTGTGTTTTTTCCCTTTTTTAATGCAAGAAGGGGTGGTCTTTTGGGGTTTAAAAAAAAAAAAATTAAAGAAATCTTCTTCTTTTTTCTACAGAATAAAATGTACATGTTAAAAAAGTTGATCAGGCTCTTGATTAAAAAATGTAAAAAGATTTCTTCCTATTAAATGATAAGCCTACAGTATATTAACAGAACTATGTTAATTTAAAGATAAATGCTGTATCACGTACAAGCAGTATTTTCTTCTTAATTTGTTTTCTTGTAACTTCATAATAATATAGGCAAACATATAGGTAAATAAAAAATATAATGTAGTAAAAAAAAGTTGTCCATCAATCAAAGAGAGTAAAGCATTCAGTCGGTCAATCAAAGCAAAGTAGTTAGTCAGTCAATCAGAGTAAAGTAGTCAAGTCAATCAATCAGAGTTAAGTAGTCGAGTCAGTCAAGTAGTTAGTCAGTCAATCAGAGTAAAGTAGTCGAGCCAGTCAAATAGTCAGTCAGTCAATCAGAGTATTAGTAGTTGGTCAGTCAATCAGAGTAAAGAAGTCGAGTCAGTCAAGTAGTAAGTCAGTCAATTGGAGTATAAGTAGTTAGTAAGTCAATCAGAGTAAAGTAGTCGAGTCGGTCGAGTAGTCAGTCAGTCAATCAGAGTATAAGTAGTTAGTCAATCAGAGTAAAGTCGTCAGTCAATCAGAGTAAAGTAGTTGGTCATTAAATCGATGATACAAATAAGATTCTTCATTAAATTCTTCTGTTTACTCATTTGATTTCTCCAACTGGCAATTTACAGCGACGATGTAAACGATTTGACCTCTAAAAGTGTGTGAGGAATTCTTGTGACTTTCCAAAGTAGACGAGGAAATTGAGATATGAATAGTGCCATGTGACATTTTTGCAATCAGGAGCTTTAGAATGTTACCGTAAGCTAGTAATTACTATGGATCACTTCCGGGCGTTAAATAGATAATTTGCTGGCAGAAATGACCTCTAACCCCTTTTCATGATAACATGTACAGTACAAGTTCGTAGTTATATTCTAAGTAACAGACAACGTGGAAAATAATTGTTTTTAAAAGAGATGCAGACCTCTACATCTCCATGTAACACATTTCAGCTCACCATTCTTCATGTATATGTTTTGTGGATATGTTGGAAGTTTGTGATATATACATAAATATGTCTTGTAACATTAGTCTGTTAATGTTGGGGGGGGGGGGGGGGGGGTCATAATCTTCCGGCCTCTATGTGTGAACCTCACTATCAATATGCAACATATTCCACCCATCACACTAACAAAACCTTTACATCACTCCCCATACACCATTTTCTGCACCCCTACAAAATCTTTGGAACAGAACACCACTGCTCACCAACCCATGTACCCATAGAATGGAAGTGGATAGAGCTGTGTCGGAAAATGTTGTCATCCTCTGAGCTGGGAGAAGATAACTTGATAAATAGCTATCACAAATATGTCCCTATGCGCTGTGAGGGAGAGAAAGCAAAGAAAAAGGAACAGTGAGAAATGTACACTGCTTTTTGTAACTCCCCCCCCCTCCTCCAGCCATCTTCCAAACCCCACAGGCCATCTTCTAACCTTCATATCTAACAGATTAGTGAATATAGAATTAAACATTAATTTCTGACCTGTATGTTTGTCCATGTCATCACAATACCCACAAGACACTTTTGCAGTTTTATCAGCTCTGTCCCCTTGTTGCTACCATTCTTGCCATTTTTATTGACAATTTTTAATACTAAATCCAGCTTGTACTTCTTTATACCCCCTTCACATACACAGATTTTTCCTACAAGTCCTTTACTACGGATCGCACAAATTCACGGATCTTCAAGGATCCTTACGATTTGGCCACTTTTACGACCAGTTTAAGAGTTATTACAAGCTTTTTGCGGTTTATTACGGATTATTACGAGTTATTACGATGTATTTACGGCAACAGTCCACGATTTGTTACGAGTTGTCACTGATAACTACGAGCAAATAACGTGTTAATTACGACCTGTTTACGTGTTGTTACGAATAGTTACGAGTAAGTTACGAGTATTTACGATTCCTTACGATTTTGAGCAAAAAAATAACAACTGAAAATAAAGTGATCGAATTTGCAGCTTTTATACCTTTCCCCAAATCGTAAACAGTTCGTAAGCATACGTAACCATCCGTAAACTGCTTGCAATAATCCGTAAATAATCCGTAAACTTACCGCAACGAATCGTTACAAAACTCTGTTACGAGTCCTTTACGGATTCTTGAGAGCAGTTTACGGATGGTTACGTGTTGTTGCGAGTGGTTTACTGATGGTGACAGATTGTTACGAGCTATTTACGGAGAAATCAATCCGTGGACAATCGTAAGAAGATTTTTGACATGTCAAAAAAATTTGCCTCTCCATTCTCGGATCCTTAAGAACGTGTCTACGAGTTGTTGCGAGTTGTGACGAGTTATTTACGGATGCTTGCAATTGACTACGAGTTGGCGATCCGTAAGAAAAAACTGTGTATGTGAATGGGGTATTATCAAGGTAAATTTTCAGAATATTTTCATTGACATGCAATGTATCAGAACCATACGTACATTGTAGGGTAATAATGCAATCTGTTTGTTTTAACAATAAATCATACTTGCAGAATGCTACCTTTGAAATGTTTGTTTTCAATGGACTTTTCATCATCTTTTCTTTTGTTTTTTGTTTCTTGTTTCTGCAGATAGAGCATCAAATGATGCTCCGCAGTTTGTCTACACACAAGACCCGACATTGAAGGTTACAGAGGGACAAAGCCCGTGTAAGTTCTTAGAAATCATGTGCAAAAAAAAAAATCACTTTTATTGTAGTAAACACAATTGCAAATATTTTTGAAAAATCGAGTCAGAAGCAATTTCAATACCCTTCTTTATATCCGATAGAAATTGTTTTCGAACTGCCCAATACGTCATTATCATGTTTGCACATTTCAATAGGTGTCGCACAAGGCTTTTGAAATTTTCGAAATTTGTTGCTAGTGTGTTAGTATACAAATGATGCACAGGTTTGAGTGCGTCGGTAGGGATTGTGTGCACAAGGTACCTTTGAATGGTTTTAGACCAAATTCAAAGGTACTGCGTGCACACAATTTCACGGACCCACGAATTAAACCTGTTCATCATCTGTTTTATAAGATGGGGCCCCAAAAATTGTCAAAAATACAAAATTGTGTTATCTTACAGATTTACTGGATGCATGGCAAAATCATGCGTCCGGTAATTTTTTTACCGGACGTATAATTTTTAACATATCATGAAATTTAAAAAAAAAAAAAAATTGTCAGTGCACATTAAACTGTAAACTTTTTTTAAAAAAATAAAAAAAATTATAGAATTTTTTAATTTTTTAAAACAGATTATAATTATCAAAAAACACGAAAAACAAATAATTATCACCCAAAAAAAATTATCAAAAAAATCATTAAAAAAAAAAAGAAGAAAATTATTTAAAAAAAAGGATATCGGTGGTATCGATCGCCGATATCGCGTGCATCCAGTAAAAATTATTACATGGTAATTGACCAATCAGACTGCAGGGATTCTTCTAACCATCTTTTAACATATCTTATAGAATGAGAAACAGCAGCTAACAATGTTTTGGGCAGACAGAGTTACATTTCCAGATTGCATTTTGCAGATATACAATGACAACAGTTCAAGTTTGCACTTTGAAATAGGTTTTGCCTTATATGTGTGTTACTCTGTATAAAAACATTCACAATTTTCTTGAACTGGTTCTTCATTGAAATTGACATATGTGTGGAAATTTAAAGTAATTTAACCTACCAAATCTTGTTAGTACTGTAGAACTTTTTAAGAGTTTGCCACATAAGTTTTTTAAAAACCATTTTGTTATGTAATCGTCTTTTAAACAGCAATCGTGGTATTTACCCTGAATGCAACTGACCCTGACGGTGACCTCATAATCTATGACCTCTTCGATGATGCAGCGAGGTCAATCTTCGCCATCAATCAGTTTACAGGACAATTGTATGCCTCGCCAGGCCTTGATTATGAAGTAAGACGACTAGTGAATTAAACAAAAGTTTTAGTACTGATTTCAACATTATTTTCAAGGAGAATAAGCAGAAACAAACGAACAATAATTTTTTTTTTTTTTTTTGCATGGTTTAATAAAGGAAATGAAAAATAATCTAAATCATGTCTAGATATATGTAAAAATATATCGATCTTTCAATCCTTGTTCCTTTTCACAACTTTAACAAAAATTGAGTACTTTCTACTTTTTTGAGCTGTCACATACATGTATATTTATTAGGGAAATGTTTTGAATACATAATATCTTCTACCAAATTCTCTTGTTATCGTAATGATATTAATAATCTGAAATTCTGTATTCTTGGGAAAGTTGCATTCTTTGATCATCAAGATGGAAATGGGACAACTAAACTAGAACCTCTCTACAAACTCTCAGTATCAAGCTCATTCACGTCCCCTGTTTTTTCGCTTTAGAACATTCAATATTTATGATACACATAAAATTAAAAGTGCTATTACGATGTATAATGTTTATAATACCTAAAAGAGTTTGTCAAATGTTTATCCTTAATAAATCTGTTCATTCATATTGAATTGAATTGAATTGAATTGATTTATTGTCCAAAATATGGAAATTCATTGTTCACTGGTACATGTGTGTTTCAAGGAAATGTACAAAATTAAACAGATTATAAAACATAATAACAATATAATACTCGTTCCTGTATCAAATATCATTATCCAAAGGTTTCTACATAGTTAATGCTTTACTATTTTAGACATAATGGTCCGCGTATTTGGAACGATTTAACTGATAAACTAACATTATGCACAACTATATCATCCTTTAAAGTTCTAGTGAAGAGACAGTTGGTCTCTTCTTATTCTACCTTGCAATGTACCATGCATGTGTGTGTGTATGTGTGTGTGTGTGTTTGTATGGTGTTTGTAGTTCATCGATGTATATCTATACTTTTATTTATGTATTTTTATTATTTTAATAACGTGTACAACCATGTAATCTTGTTATTTACTATTTATGTCAGGGGACTATTACTTACAAGTTTGTCAAACTTCCTTTTTAGTCTCCAATTTCTTAATTCCAGAAATTTAAGATTATGATTGTTTTATGTTACTTTTGTATATATATTATTTTATGTTTTTTTTTTTATCCCTCTTCACCTTTAATTCTAATTTAATTTCTTTCTCTCTACAGATGTTGGGAAATCAAGTTATTATCACAGTCTCCGTGACTGATGGCATTAATGATCCGGTGAGTTTGAATTTCGGTTCTTTTAGCTCTCAAAATTGAGTATCTTTTTACTAACTTATCAGTGCTCAGTTACCTCTATTGACGGCATAACTTATTTTCCCTTTCTATAATGTTTTTAATGACATGTATGATAACACATCTTACAAGAGTATAGAGATCACAAAGCATTAACTATTATAATATGATGAAGCGGATCCTAATCAAATGATTACTTGAAAGCGTACACGTAATCGAAAACACCTGATCACTTGCGTGGATGACCTGAAGAAACTGTTATCTGGTTGGTGCAACGTATGACACTCTTTTAATCATATCACAAACTTTTATGATATTCATTTCTTGAACTCTTCATTTATATATTCTTTTTAATTGTGTACTTATTTTTTAAATATTTTTTATGTAATGAACCTTTTATATGATGTAAATATGTATCTAAGCCTATTTTCTTTGTTCTTACTTCAAATATTCTTCAAATCTCATTTAGGATGGATAGCAAATAAGCACCACACCATGTTCCATAGGGGGTAGTGAATTTGATGTATCATGTATGGAATATCCTTCATGCTTGAGTTCTGTATTACCTTTTTATAACTTAAACAATGACGAATTTATTGATACTCTTTTATTGTCTGATGCAATTAAAAAAATTATGTTAATGAATTGAAAAGTCTCTTTAAAAAACAAACTGAACATAATATACGCAATATTGATGATTATGATCTACAAGGAGAAATGAATGAATGTAAATATTATATTGAAACTGAATTCATGAATTTGCCTAAATCAGAAAATAACAATGTTAGTATGTTACACTTCAATGCACGTAGCTTAAATAAGAACTTTTGTGAAATAGTTGATTTTATTTCTTCATTGTCCTTTTTATTTTCTGTGTATGGTTTCTCAGAAACATGGATTCATTCTCAAACACCTATGCTTTTTAATTTAGAGGGATATTCGTTCATACATTCTGATCGAATTAATGGCAGAGGAGGTGGAATAGCACTATTTGTTTCAAATACTCTCAATTTTAAAATTAGAAAAGATATTGATTTAAACGTTGATGGCATTGAATTTCTTTTTATTGAAATAATTGTTCAATCAGGGAAAAATATTATTGTTGGAATTATTTACACGCAACCAAAGAGCAGAATCGATAGTTTTATAAGTGACTTTGACACATGTTTGCAGGAGCTTAATACAGAAAATAAACGAATTTATATTATGGGTGACTTTAATATTGATATTTTAAAATCTAATAATAAATATAGTGTTGATTTTTTACAAGTTTTATACTCGTCACAACTCTTGCCATTAATTGATAAGCCCATTCGTCTTTCTGCTCGTAGTGCAACATTGATAGATAATATATTTACTAATAATATCAATTCCTTCATTACTTCTGGGATTTTTTACAACAATGTCACGGATCACTTACCAATTTTTCAAATTACAAATCATGCTATGTCTAATATGCCTGTGCAGAATGTAAAAAAGCGGCTGATTAATGATAAAACCATGAATAACTTGAAATTTGATTTGATGACCGAAGACTGGATAAATGTCATTTTTTCTAACGATGCAGAAATTGCTTACAAAAAATTTCAATCCAAATTTACCTTATATTATGAAAAGAAGTTAACACTAATTACAAAAAAAAAGGAAAAAGAAATGTAAAAAACCTTGGTTGAATTTTGAATTATTAAAATTAATTGAAGGCAAAAATAAACTGTATAGAAGATATTGTAAAGTGAGATCAAACACAAATAAAACTAAATTTCATGAAGCTCGTAATAGAGTGAATAAGCTGAGAAAGAAAGCACAGGGTAACTATTTTGCTCATAAATTCAAAGAAACAAAAGGTAATATAAAGCAAACATGGTCAGTGATAAAAGAATTTTTTGGTAAATCAAGTAAATCTCTACCTTAATATTTTAGTATAAATGGTCAAGACATTCATGATCCTCTTATTATTGCAAACTGTTTTAATGATTTTTTTTTATTAATATCGGTCCTAACATGTGCAATAACATTCCCAGAAGTAATGAAAATGATTTTAGTAAATTCTTGCCTCAATTTAATGGTGCTTCATTATTTTTAACTCCTGTAAATGAATTAGAATTTTTAAATATTGTGAAATCGCTGAAGAGTACTAGTAGTTGTGGTATTGATAATCTCAATCCATGTGTTTTAAATAAGGTATTAATATATATTTCAAAACCTCTTGTTCATATTTTTTATTTATCTTTATGTACTGGTAGAGTGCCATTTGATATGAAAGTTGCTAAAGTAATCCCAGTACATAAAAAGGATGATACACATGTTATTGGAAATTATAGACCAATATCAGTACTACCATTTTTCTCAAAAATTTTAGAAAAAATTGTTTACAATCGTTTAGAACATTTTTTAACAAAGCATGCAATATTAAATTCGTGCCAGTATGGTTTTACCAGGAATGTATCCACCGAAATGGCTCTTGTTGATTTACATAATTATCTGATATCTTCTTTAAATGACAAATTACACTCCGTGGGGGTGTTTTTAGATTTGAGTAAAGCATTTGATTCGATCAACCATGAAATTATGTTAACAAAATTGAAGGTATATGGTATTAGAGGCACAGTATCCTTATGGTTTGAAAACTACTTAAAAAATCGAACTCAAATAATTTTGTACAGTGATGTTTTATCAGATCCAATGAGAGTAAAGTGTGGAGTACCACAGGGTTCAATCCTGGGGCCCATTTTGTTTTTACTGTATATAAACGATTTGATTAATTGCTCTGATAAATTGAAATTCATTCTTTTTGCTGATGACACCAATATCCTTTATAGCCATGACAATTTTTTATGATTTATGTAAATTTCTTAATGAGGAATTATGCAATGTTTCACAGTGGTTTAATCGTAATAAGTTATCTCTTAACACTTCCAAATCTAGCTTTATATACTTTCATCGTATTAAAGCAAAATACAATTACAGAAAATTTATTGACCAATCTTAATATTAGTATGAATAATGTAATTTCTTAGGAGTTGTTATCGATCAACATTTATCATGGGTCGAACATATATTTACTATATCTAAAAAAATATCAAGGAATATTGGTGTCATCAGCAAACTGCGGCATTTTTTGCCAGAACATATTTTAATCCTACTGTATAATTCAATGATTTTACCTTATTTGATGTATTGCAATGTTGTATGGGCCAATACATATCCCAGTAGGCTCCTTGGATTATTGAAATTGCAAAAAGGATTGTAAGAATATGTTCAATGTCTCACTATACTGCTCCTTCACAACCACTATTTAAAAAACTTAATCTTCTCAGAATCTATCAATTGAATGACTACTGTATCTTATTAATGGTCTTTAAACATAAGCATAACAAATTACCATATAATCTTGTCTCTATTATTAAATGTAAAACAGAAATGCAAAATTATAATACCAGAAATCCAGAAAATTACTATGTCGAAAAATGTAAAAATACGGCATCATCTTTTTCTTTCAAATCAAAAGGACCGTCAACATGGAACTCTCTTCCTTGTTATATTAAAACAATTTCGTTTCTTAATTCTTTTAAATAAAAACTTAAGGTTTTTTTTATTCACAAACTCTACAAAATAATTAATCCATCCTAACTTTTATAACTTTTAAACTTTGATAACTTTTAAACTCTTTTTTGCCATAATGTCACTATGCTTTTCTAATTCTTTATCAGTAAAAATTTCGGTATTTTAATAAGCTTGGAATTGCCTCGACAGAACCTTTATTTGGTTCTTTTGCAATTTCCATTTCATGTTCATTATCTATTTCCTTGATGTCTTACTTTTGTCTTTACTTCTCTTTTTAATTGTGTGTTTAAAGTTCAATGTATACTGTGTATCCTACATGTAAATATGTTGTCAATGTACAATGTTTTTCAATGTACTTTTTTTAAATGGACTTGAATAAAATCAAATTGAATTGAGTTGAACCAGGCATTTATTTTGCCTAACACGTAATTTTACCCCGGGCGTGATAGACTGATCCAAAGGTCCCTTGTGTGGGTAATTCTTACTAATTATGCCCTCACTGTTGTGTATTTTATATAATATGTAACAAATTTTGTTGTTGCTGTTTATCGGAGCAATTATGATTTTCTGAAATATGAATGGTTTAAAGGAAAATCAGTTCTACAATCATTAAAGGGATAGTTGAGTTCTGTTGCAGAGGGCGCTACACATTTTTTTTTGGTGAGATAATGAAGTGTCAAATTTGAAAGAACATACAATTTAAATGACAAAATAATCTTTGTTTGATCAAAATCAGTTCAGAGACGGCTAAAATATTCATAAATATAACAATTTCAAATACTTGTGTACCACCACAAATATTAGATAATTTGAAAAAACCGTTGAAAAAACGAAATAGCACCTTTCACATCGTATTTCAGCCATTGCCGATGTTGGCTTTTTGTTGGCATTTTCGTGTTGGTTATATTACGCACAACCAGCCGGCCCATGTATTGTTATTTTTAATTGAATAATTAATTAACGGTCATCATATTTTGGGGAAAATGTAGCTGGATTGGCTAAATTTCACACATTTTGGGGTCTAAAATTACCTTCATAGCAATTTTAGGTTCTAAAAGGGCACTAAAAATGTCATAGATAAGAATAAGAGCAACAAACATGCACTATGAAGGCATTTTCGGTCTGAAAACAGAATTTAACTATCCCTTTAACACTCAATTGAAAGCGTTGTGGCGTGCGCCTGTAATCCAGCTAACAATGGAAGTTACAAACTGATTCAGCCGAGGACGCAGGTTAGAAACTGAGTCACGTCTTTCGGATGGTGACGTTAAAAGTCGGTCCCCAGACGTAAATAATCATATCTGATTGGTACACGTCTGTAAAAACCCAATTACACACACACACACACACACACACACACACACACCTTTAACACTCATTGAAAGCGAAACTCAATATTTTAAGCAAATTCTATTTTTGGGTTCTTTTTTTTGCAGGAACACTCTTTAATTATAAGTTATAAACAAGTAGCTTAAAAAGGGTTATTTCAACAAAAAACTCCTTATTTTTGTTAAATTCCAATGAAATGTATGTATCTTGTTCGATCGTTTTTTGAAGATATTAACATTATTATGTTAACTTTAATTTCTCCTTTCATTACAGGTACCCCAAACTATCTACGTTCAAATCACCGATGTGAACGACATTGCTCCGACCTTCACCAACCTGCCGAACATTACCTATGTCTTTGAGAATGCTACCATCGGAAGTGAGCTCTACCAAGTCATCACCACCGATGAGGATACCTTTTACGGTGGATTTGTGACTTACTCCATTTTGCTAGTCACCCCCAGCAATCCTGGATCTGTAAGTGTTGCAGAACTTCTTTATCCAATTCTATTATTTTTTCTTTTCAATTCTACAGAACAAGTGGGAACTAACTGCAAAAGGAAAAACAATACAGAATAAAAACTCAAGACAAATTTCTAAACATTTCATCTTGAAATGCGAAACGCTACCAACAAATTTAATGTAGTTGTTTTTAAGATTAAAAAAATGAAAATGAAAGTGTACTATATGATGGTAAAAATAGATGGCTCTGTGTTTTTTGGGGTGATTTTTTTACAGTCCTTGATGAAATTAATTTTCTAACCAGGTATTAAAGTAAATGTATAGAGGAATTGATTCAAATCTTGAGATCAGGTTCAAGTGTAAATATGTGGTAGAAATATGAAGATACTTTTATATTTATTGGCTCGTTACTTCTCTCCCTTTTAATAGTGTATTTCTTTTTTAGGAGGTCATTGTAATTGTATGTAACTTTGATGTTTTAAAATGTTAAAGTTTAAACCATAACTGCCCCGTGTGAACGTATCTTCTGCTACGTCTCTGTTCTACCCTTTGATACAACATCTTACATGGACATGTGTTTGAGTACATGTACATTACATGTGTAGCTCTCTATCTCGCTTTCTGTTCAGTGCCATTGGACTTTAGAAGCTTCACGCTTTAGTAACGTTGTGACGCTGCACTTTGTCATCCGTTATTGTTGCATGTTTGCATGGAGCAAATACAGTACCTCTGGGAATCGCATGTAGTATAAGAATTTAAGCAGGAATACCTTGACATTCACACGATCATCACAATGTGTATTACACATACGTATTCATGTAGTTTGCATATTGTAATCCACCATATTTGAAGCGTTACAATGACATGAGAACTGATACCATATCTGTAACTGTATATTATTTTATGTGAATAAGCTCATGTTTAAGTACTAAAGAGAGCCAGAACGGCATTAAGTTCCAACACACGGTTAAATGTATTATGTCCCAATTTTCAGCCAATATTAAATTATGTAGAACTTTGCAGGAATTATGAATATGTCACGTATGTCCTATTTGTAAACTTTAAACGTTAGCAGTGTCCTAATATTTAAATCATGCAAGAAAACCTGTTTACTTTCTAGACTCCATGTTGATTTTGTATTTCATCTGTTGATACATGATATGGCCAGTATTGCACTACCAGAAAATGTTGTGACGTTTTAATTTGTTCTTCAGTCTCTCGTTAGGAGATGCTGTTAACTTGTCTACCATAATCAATATATTTGTATTATAATAGTTGCGAGCTGTGAATACTTGTTTTTATCCACACAATTTGCTAAATAGAACTTATTCCCAGCAAAAATAACAGAATCTCTATCTATTGACTATTGACTCTGTTGACTCATCAAAATCCCAGTAAATAGCCACTATATGTGTGCCGTTATAGTACCAAATAGAAGTAGAAGCAGAAATTTGTCTATCACTTCAAAAAAGAAATCTTACTTATCAGTGTAGGTCCCACATAATTACTTGTCTATAAAAGAAACGGATGGCCAAATAGCATTTATTTCCCCACTCAAAAGCCTATTGAACTTAGATCCTTCATCCAAATATCCACTAGATGAGTGTCATTGCAGTACCGACTAGATTCAGAAGTATAAATGTGTCTTTCTCATCAAATTTTCTTTCTACTTATCATTGTAGGCTCCAAATAATTACTTCTCTATTGGAGAGACAGATGGCATCATTCAGCTTGCTACCTCTCTTAATTATGAAGAAATACAACAATACTTTGTGACGGTAGTGGCCCGGGTAAGAATTTTTTGTTTCACATTTATCTCTTCTTTTTTTTTGCTTTCAAAAAACTCATTTCAACCAAGAAAATCAAATCTTTTTTTTTTTTTGCTATATAAGAACTAACCATGTTTTTTTTAAAATCTCAATACAAAAATCTTCACCTCCGAAATTGTCAGCTGATCAGTCCCTGCAACTAACCATGTTGTATGTACAATGAACATGCACCTCTAGATTGTAATAGATTCCATCATAATGAGTTCTATTTTCCTCTGACTCTAGGATTACGGGACTGGTGACACAAGTCTCTCCAGCACAGCTACACTGACGGTCAGTGTCCTGGACATCCAAGATACTAACCCAGTCTTCCTCAATATCCCCTACGATGTCACCATCCCAGAGACATTACCAGTGGTAAGAAACTGCACCAACTTAATTCAATTTTATGAAACGGAATCTTTCACAAGAAATTGGCTAAATCAATTACATATTCATTATGCCTTGTGATTCTATTTGATATTTTACAAAGAATATTACAAACATATCATCGTGTTTAATCATGATCTTTATGCAAGATGTTACATACATATCATTTTTTTACCCCCAATTTAAAGTGAAAAGTGAGTAATTGTTGTTCATTTTATAGGCAAACGGTGGATTATGTATTGCATAATTCCTTTTATTTAAAGGTGGGGTGGGGAGGTACATTAGCCTCTTATAGCTTTAAAAATAATGTACATGTACCAATCTGGTGAATTCATTATGCAGTTCTAAATGCACATTGTATATTGCTAAAGATATTTGTTGAAGTTTGTTTTTATGTTCATAGTTGTACATGTATGCCAAGGGCTATAATATGAAACATTTTAAAACTGTTGTTCTTGCCTGATATTCTTATTTGTGTTCTTTCTTGATAATTACATGTCCTTATATTATTAATTTTTAACAGGGATCAACTGTGCAAACCATCAGAGCCACAGATCCTGATACCAATAATGGCAATATCATCACATATAATCTGGTCGTCAGTAAGTATGGTAGCTTTATTGACTTGATTGAAAGAAATTTCAAGGGAGACTTTCATCTCCATTGATAAGAATCAAATTCTTTTTCCAAACGAAACTGCTGATAATGTATCATACTTGTATACTTTTAGGAATAATGCCAACAACCAAAGTACTTATGTTGCTCAGTAAGGAGGCGCGATAGCTCAGTCGGTAGAGCAGTGGTCTTGTGATCCGGTGACCCGGGTTCGAAACCAAGGCGATGCGCTAGTGCCCTTTGGTAAGGCATTAATCCTCATTACCAGGTCCCTCGAATAGAAGAGGACCTAAAGCCTTCGGCCGTCTGGTTGCTTACTTTCAAGCATTTATGCTTTCTTAGCAGTCAGGTAAAATAACCACCACCACCATCTAACCACTATCACAAGGAGAGTAAGGTATAGTGCACATTATTTCAATCAATTTATTTCTGTTTGAAATAAATGAACATGTACAGGTATGCTAAGAGAGAGAGAGAAAGAGAAGGGGTGAGAGAGAGAGAGAGAGAGAGAAATGGGAGAGAGTAAGGGAAAGAGAAAGAGAAAGAGAGCTTGAAGTAGCTGTAAATAGTATTTTTATGCCTCCGTTACGAAGTAGCCGGAGGCATTATGTTTTTGGGTTGTCCGTCCGTCCGTTCGTCCGTACGTACGTACGTACGTCTGTACGTACGTACGTCCCGTTCTCGTGATCGCGTTATCTGAAGAACCGATTGATGGATTCCTGCCAAACTTTGTTCATGTATGTATCTTGCAAAGCCGATGAACTGATTAGATTTGGGGGTCACGAGGTCAAAGGTCAAAGGTCACAGGGGTCATTATGTATGCAAAAACAGCTTGTGATCGCGTTATCTGAAGAACCGATTGATGGATTCCTGCCAAACTTTGTTCATGTATGTATCTTGCAGAGCCAATGAACTGATTAGATTTTGGGGTCACGAGGTTAAAGGTCAAAGGTCACAGGGTTCATTATGTATGCAAAAATAGCTCGTGATCGCGTTATCTCAAGAACCGATTGATGGATTGCTGCCAAACTTAGGTCATGTATGTTACTTGCAGAGCAGATGAACTGATTAGATTTTGGGGTCACGAGGTCAAAGGTCAAAGGCCACAGCGCACATTATGTATGCAAAAACAGCTCGTGATCGCGTTATCTCAAGAACAGATTGATGGAATGCTGCCAAACTTAGGTCATGTATGTTACTTGCAGAGCCGATGAACTGATTAGATTTTGGGGTCACGAGGTCAAAGGTCAAAGGCCACAGCGCACATTATGTATGCAAAAATAGCTTGTGAACGCATTCTCATTAGAACTGACAGATGGATTACTATTTAACTCAGGACATCTTGCAGAGCCAATGAACTGAGTAGATTTTAGGGTCATGAGGTCAAAGATCAAAGGGTCATATATGTATATGAGAAATTGTTTGTAATCACGATATTCTGAGCACCTGTTAATGGATTACAATTGAACTTGAATTCAAAAAATTTCTTCTGTTTTGGTTTGTAAAATTGCTCTATGACGGAGGCATCATTTTCGACTGCGCGCAGTCGAATTCCATCTAGTTATTCTTGACACAGAGTCAGTTTTGTTTCTTTTAAAAGGTAAAAGTATGAAGGAAGTCATCGAAATCTGTAAAGCAAGTTGCATTAGATGGAGAGAAGATTGTGTATCAAGTTTAGAACTCAAGGTTCCTTGAAGATCTGTTGCATGTATTTCTTTGTGAGGAAAAGACAAAATTACAATATGTGTAACAATCCTCCTATTTATTAGAGTCGTTATGGTGTAGTTGATACCCCGGTGAGGAAAATGGGTACCTGTTCACTGATAACGGGTGCTGGAGCTAAAGCCAGTTTAATAATTTTCAAAGCTCTTTAGAAGCGCAAAGGGATGTTTTATATCAAAATGTCATGACCAGAATATTATTATTATTATTATCTTTTTCTTCTCTATCTCCAGGTGACAGTCAAGGTTATTTTGTGATCGACCAAACCACCGGTATCATCACAGTCAACTCTCAGATGGACAGAGATAATCCTGTTCTCCCAGCTACGTACCCACTCATTGTCAGTGTAAGTGGACCCCTCTCTTCTCATTCATTTAGCATTCAGACAGGTTGCCCCTTTCACTTCGCAGTGGTCAAATTTGACAATAGTTTAAATGCCTGAATATGATAAAGACCATAAATATTATCTTTCCCATATCTCCCATTTATGTATCTCCTTATTGTCAGTGTAAGTGGACCCCTCTCTTCTCATTCATTTTTAATTGAGAAACTTAGTCCTGTTTTCACAATGAGTAAGAGGTCATTGGTTTTGGACAAAGATAGAGCCTGAATGTAATTTACATGTATATTGCATGTTTTAGTGAGATAAATTGATAGCTCATATCTTGAAAAAAAACATCTTGACAACTTGCCTATAAGACAATGGAGCTACAATGTATTCATTAGTGTTGCACTTGACTCAATCTAGAGTTGTACAAACAACCAAATAAACTACATTTTTGTTAATTTTGCTTTTGCATTTTAATTAAAATTTGGATCTGTTTCATGGTTTTTTTAATATCACTTTCTTTTTGTCTCATCTAGGCTGTCGAGACCAGTTCTGGTGGAGTCTCGTTTGCTCAAGTCAGTTTCAACGTCACTGTTTCACCTGCAAACGATGAACCGCCCTCGTTTGATCAAAATTCCTACTCCGCATCCATTCCAGAATCAGCGTCCATCAACTCACAACTCCCAATCACAATAACAGTCGATGACGGAGACCTTGTAAGTACTTGTATTATAATGGGTAATTTTGTTCCCATTCATCAAAAAGATTTTCGGAAATGTTTATGGAAGTTACCAAAATCATTGTATCATTGAAAATTCCCTCCTTGTGTGTGTGAAATTTGCATAGATCTTTTCTGAAATGTTTAGAAAAACACATTTGAACGATTTGAGCTACATGATTATCTTATACTCAAAGTGTGTTAGAATGGAAATATCTTCATCTTTACATTACTTCTAATTTTCAATGTCCATTTGACAAAAGCATAAAGAAAGAGTGACACAAAACTTGCTTTACTCATCAATAAATTTCAATACTATGAAATCATATTACTTTTGTACACTTTTGCTATTGACACCTAACCATATGAATGTTTGAATTAAAAAAAATTGTATATTATTTATTCTCTATTTTTTCAGATTACTGATAGCACAGTAACAGTTTCCCTGCAAAATGGCAACAGCGTTCCTTTCAGAGTTTCACCAACTCAAGTTGTTGGTAGTGGTACGATCGACATCCTCATCACTCAACCCCTTGATTTTGAAAACAACCAACAATATACTTTACAGGTAAGATAGGGGTATGTTCTTAACCCATCGCCTATTGGTACCAGGTGGCTACTGTATTAAGCCCATCGAAATCAATGAATTCAGTATTCAACTGGTTAAGTTTGTGTCATGATGTACAGCTGGGGTAAAAGAGATCTCCTACGGTCTACTATATCATATATTTTGCCTTGGAGAGATACAACTTTAAAGCTGCGTCATTAGCCTAAGTATCATTTTTTTCTTCTGAGAATTTCATGTTTTGAGAGAGAAATGAAAGAATACATATACACCAGGGTAGCGTTTCAGGAAACCGACATTAGTACAAGTTCACCGTCATCCAATTGAAACATGCATCTTGTAAAATCTGGTGTTTAACAAATAGACCATTTCTTTTATCTTCACAATAATCAATGGAGTCGAAGCAAGAGTTCTTTTCAGTATTCAATGATGAAAATGATATTTTGAACATTAGTACCATAAATCCTTCTTCATGCCTTTGCAGCTTCAAGCAGTCGATGGAGACGGTCAAGACTTAGCTCCTTTAATGGTGACTGTGACTGATGTGAATGATAACAACCCTGTATTCATCAATCGTAAGTAGCCCAAAGTTTTTTAAAAGTATTAATCCCAAAACTATGAAATATTATTGTTTGACTTGTTTGCAATTTATTACTTTTTATTTTTTTAAAATAATTTTGAGGTTACAAAAGGAAATAGTTCATGTACTGTGTATGTACCTGCGCTTGTCATTGTCACATTAAAGCCTGTCTGTAATAGTTTGGTCAGGAGGGATTAGACTACCCAGGGTGGTCACTGACAGGTGGCTAACTCATCAACTCGGGTCTCAATTAACATAAGAAAAGAGGATCATTGGGGATCAATGGTCACCGATAAGGCATTGTTTTCTATATAGAGGGAGCAAGTAGCTACAAGTAGCAGTGGGGCTTTAAAATCTAATGATCTAACCCGACCATTCTATGTGTATAATCTTACATTCTATTTCTCTCTCTTTTGCAGGGCCGATAGATAACATTTACAGAGGTAGCATCAATGAGAATGACCAGACGGGAACGTTCATTGTCCAGGTGTCCACAACGGATGCGGACAGTGGCTCGAACGCAGCGGTCACTTACTCTATCATTAGCGGCAACATTAATGTAAGTATCACCAAATAGTCAAAGAAAAAAAAAATAACATAGGATGTCAAGCTGGTGCAGATCAGCTGTGTTCTATAAAATAACTTATGAAATAGTGTCTACTTTTGCTAAATATTTGCAAATTTTGTGGCCTATAAGATTAAGATACAAGAAAAAGTAATATCATGTAAATCAATTATTTGCAGGTTTATTTGTTCAACATTTAACTTCAGATGGTGTTACACTACAAAAAGAATTTAAAAAAAAAATTAAAAATTCAATAATGATCACAATCGTGTGTTTACAGAGATCAATTACAGGCACGTTTGTAATTATTATTATTTTTTTTTTACCTGACTGCTATTAAGAAAGCATGTCATAAAATTGAAAACAGTCGTTATCATTAGACCTTCTTGGAAAACAAACTGTTGCAATAAGGTACCATGGTAAGGAACTTGTAACAATTTTTTCCCCCTCTCCAGAATGTCTTCACGATCAATCCTACCTCTGGTGCTATCACAAACACCCAAATCCTTGGACCTAACACCCCTCAGACATACACTCTCAGTGTCAGGGCAACCAACCCTACACCGGGTGTTGCACCGGCGTAAGTATCTTAACACCTTACTCTTCTAAATGAAATTATCAAAGTGAAAATTGTTATTGGGAGCATTCTGGTATATTGATGGAGGCATTTTACTCTTGATACAAATGGTACCAGGATCAATCTGGCTCTGTGCTTACATCAATCCGTGGACAAGGTATCTTACCCACATTTGTCCCTCTTGACCTAGGTGTATAAGATGGGTACCTGTATGCTGGGGTAATAATAATTGCAGGGCCAGCAGGAAAGAGCGGTATTTATATTGATGAGGTTACCATGGGTAAATACATGTAATGCCAAACATGTACTATTCCCATTTTAAAAAAGTAACATAGCAAAAGGAATTGGCATTATTCTTTAAGGAGCGCATCTGGCTACTTCAGTGTCATCTTCACTTTAATAAAATACATCTACTGTATTTACCCATGTTACCACAAATTTAGGAAGTTTTTCATGTGATAGGGTCCACTTCAAAACCTAAATTCATGCATGCTAATGAACAAGCATGGTTCTGTAAAGGCAGATTCCTGTAACAGATGTTTTTGAACGGTGCTTTAAATGCATACAAGAAATTATGGGAAGTTATCAGGACTCAATTTTTCTGGAATATTTGCAATGTGACTCCATCTTCTATTTTTTTTCTTTCTGTAGGACTGGAACATCTACTTCGACCGTGATCATCACTGTGAATGATGTCAATGACAGTCCTCCAAGATTTAGTGACAATGAATACACTGTCTTCATCAATGAGGTAATCAAGAATACACATCTTTTGATGCAGTACTTGAAAAAAAAAGAAGAAGAGAATTTCACACTTTTTATTGTAAATAACAAAAAGTGTAAACTAGTATCAGACTGAAGTGTGCACAATGTAAATTTGGGTATCAGTGATTGAATTGAAAGCATAACATTACCATAGCGCCTCACAGCTAAATATACCCCCAAACTGTTCATCAGGGCTCCACTCAAACTTTTGTCACGATTAAAAATCTATATTTTGAGGGTCGAGAGTTGTAATTGACGGGTCCATATATACCAGATTCCAGCTAGTGCACACTTTGGCTAAGTTGCAGTCATGTGACATTCAATTATCATTTGGAGACTAACCCAATTTCCCTTGTTGTTGTTGTTCCCATGGAAACAGGCTGCTCAGGTCGGTACCACCGTCACAAGGATCACAGCTACCGATGAAGACATCCCTGAAGGAGATAGACTCACTTATATCATCACTGCAGGCAACCAAGGAGGTAAATGGCATATTAAAGTTGATACTCTAAGACAATCACAAATACTGAGATAATTACATAAATAGAAAGCTTTTAACCCCCATAATAACACCAAATGGTGTCCACCCGACAAAACAAGTTTAGAATAATGAATTTATTCGAGTAAACTCTACCAAAATATCTAAGTCTGAAACCCGGAAGTGCACGTAGAGTCGGGCCTCTATCCGTGACGTCACGAACGGGACTCATGGGCTCAGTGAGAGTGAATGGCAGTGATATCCCTACGTAAATGCTATCCTGTCAGAGCTTAGATTTGTTGTTGTTAAGGAGTATATTTGATGGATTTTCTGTTTTCATTTGAATGAAGAATAACGAAGCAACATTTTCCAGTCGCTGATTTCTTTTTATATCCTCATATTCACCTATTTGGTAGAGATTTAAGACGAGTTTACTGCTTAGGAATTAAAGTTAAATCGTGCACGTATGAATAGGCGGATGCATTATATTGTCATCAGATAAGGTACAGGAGCAGTTTTGTAAAACGAATAGGTCTAGAACTATGATAGTACTTATCATAGATGTGTGTGACTGCCTCAAAAAAGGATACAGTACCAGTTAAATATTTTATGTTGTAAAATATCAAACTTGAACGAGATCATGCAAGCGCGCTTCCTCTATAATATTTTGGCGAGTGATGCGGCTCTTGCATGAACGTTCGTGAAGCGAGCAGAATCGGGAGGTAAGACCAAGCCGCTGCTCTAGGCGCTGCTTGCTTGTGATGGAACGTACGTGCGCTAGTTATATGTTTATCGGCAATTGCAAGAGAATGAAAGTGACGTTGCCAGCTAAGAAAAACAACTAATAAAGACTTGCTCCTGACTACCGGTGTCAGAATTGGTAGATGAAGGATATTCAGGGCCAAGGAAGGCGAAAGACATGGGAAAAAGGAAAAAGAAACCATCGGGAGATCGCTGTAGTGTATGATAATGAACTGTGCATGGGAAGACAGCTATTGTTCACTCTGTGCCTGGGCCGATTTCAATTACACCAAAACAAAAATTACATGGTGAAAATATCGACTAATAGCACATCGTTGGCATGTATATGTCATAATTTTTAAAAGGGGAATTGATATTAATACTATGAAGTACTAGGGGAAGGTAAAGAATTGTACATAGAATTATGATTTATTAGACTTTTCAGCCTTTGAAACAAAAATATGCAGAAAATCGTATCACTCTGCACATGTTTGCTATGGAACATCCGGGTACGTGAATATACTCTTTCCCGGACGTGAGGTCATAAATAGTAGACCAGCGCCGTGACTGATTTTCTATGCAAAGAGAGGCGGATATTTTCGACATTTCAATTGAGGATTTCGAGTAGACAGAATTTTTTTGTGATATACTAAGTATTTGAAAAACTTAAAAATAACATATACTTGCCGTAGGTAACAAATTAAGGGACATTTATTTGCTTAGAGTATCAACTTTAAACATATTCGATATGATTTCTTAAATGGTAACCAATATTGCTCTGCATGTTAGTGGTTCCATGTTGCTATACTACATTCCAGATATGATGCTCATTACAATGGATAACATTTTAGTTAGCTATCAGAAAATTGAAGATATTATCACTACCCTGCAGTGACATATCTTACATGTGTGTGTGTGTGTGTGTGTGCGTGTGTGAAGTTCGTTTGTAAACCAGATGGCACTGTTAACAACTTGGCTGAATTGTACAGTATCGTATTTCGGTATGTAATGAAGTAAGAGCTAACCTTATTTCTCCTTATCCTCTGATCCCTTAGGGCATTTTCAAATCAACCCTGTATCCGGGGATGTGACCCTTCTCAGGCAGCTTGACCGGGAGCTTGAATCCCAGCACAACCTGACCATCAGGGCCACTGACCAGGGAGCTCCGCCCCAGTCCGCAACCACCACGCTCAAGGTCATCGTACTCGACTTCAATGATAACGCCCCTCAGTGGAACCCGCAGAGCTACGTGGACAGCATCCTGGAGAATGTGCCGGTCAACACGTTTGTTCTGCAGGTTAGAGATCAGCTGGGTGGCGGTGGTGGTGGTGGTGGTGGTGGTGGTGGTGGTGGTGGTGGTGATGATGATGACGACGACGAAGATGATTATAATCATGTTAACGGTCATTATCATGGTACCGACGATGACAACGATGATGATAATAATATAATAATTTAAGATTTATATAGCGTACATATCTGCCTATAATGGCACTCAAGGCGATGAGGAGGATGATGATGGTGATTAGTATGTTCACCATCATTATCATGGTGACGATGATGACAATGATGATGATGACGATGATGATGATAATATTATTTTAGGATTTGTATAGCGCACATATCTGCCTATAATGGCTCTCAAGGCGATGATGATGATGAGGATGATAATGATCATGCTCACGATCATTATCATGGTGACGATGATGCCAAGGATGATGATGAGGATGATGAAGACGATAATTATCATCGTCATGGTGGTAATGATGATGTTCATTATCATCATTATTGTGGTGATGGTGGTGATGATGATCATGGTGATGATGATTATGATAATGAATAATGGTGATGATGGTAGTGTTTTTGGTATTTAAGTCATTAATCCTTGTTTACTAAATAGCTTATATATGACTTTCAGCTATAGTTTTTTTTGAAAGGGTTGTTTTGAACCCTGCTGTCTCTATAATGTCCCTTACTCTTTTCATCTCTTTTTCTCTGATCTACTTCCCTTTACTCTCCCCCTCTTCTCTAGTCTCATTTCTTGCTGTCTTCTTTTCTCTTGCTTCCTGTTGTCTCTTATGATCCAACATTGTGGATTTTAATTTTTCATTTTTTCTTCTTTCATTCTGTACTTGTACATGTATTTTATTCATTGTTCTCTTGTACATGTAAGCTCTATTTCCCTTTCCTCCTGGGTAGGTGGTAGCTACCGATAATGATCAAGGCACCAACGCTGACCTGTCGTTTACCATCAACAATGCCAACAACGTTCCATTTGTCATTGATGACCAGGGCAACATACGAACATCCGGTCCTTTGAACAGAGAAACTGTACCTCAATACAATTTTCTGGTTACGGTGCTAGATAGTAAGTTTGTTTTGGTCAAGACCATATTATGTATGTACTTTGTAGACTGCATTGAACAATTTACTGTATAAGCTGTCATTTTGGGGAGTTTCGTGAATGACTCAATAATCGCAAATTTAACAACACATGATAATATATCCAGCAAATATTGTTGCATTTCAAAATCACTAAAGGAAGCCCTGTCGCATGTTGCACATGGCATCTATACACTATAGTACGAGCTGTCTACGGTTCATATGGCATAGTTTGAGATCACACTGATCGCAATGGGGCACCTGAATAGATTTTAACACAATTAAAAGAGGATCATGGGGGACCATGCAACGGGCACCGCTTAGGCATTGTTTTCTATCGAGGGAGCAAGTAGCTATAGTACAGTGGGGCTTTAACAATTCTACCTTTTCATTTATATATCTCTCCCGAAATAGGTTGTACCTTTTGTCTTCTTCCTGAAGTTGATAGGTACAGATAATCTAAACCTTCTGATAGAGCATGAGTAGGCCCTTTTCAAGGCCGACTTACCCTGTCAAAACCGCAAACCTCACTCAAATCTATCATCACTTCAAAGATATTCTTTTATTTTTTAAAAGATTGTATTTTGAAAATCAGTTGTTTTTGTTTCGATGGTAACTAAAAAAATCCAATATCATCTTGTTTCTGTAGATGGTAGCCCGCAGCAAGCAGGCAACCCTCCCGCCACCATCACCATCAACATCTTGGACGTCAATGATGAGCCTCCTGTCCTTGATAGGAATGCCTATGAGTTCACCGGCTCGGAAGACGTCAACTTCAACACCTTTGTCGGACAGGTAGAAATGTTAAAGCCCCACTGTACTATAGCTACTTGCTCCCTCGATAGAAAACAATGCCTAAGCGGTGCCCGTTGCATGGTCCCCCATGATCCTCTTTTAATTGTGTTAATTGAGAGCGGAGTTGATAAGATAGCCACCTGTCAGTGACCATGCTGGCTGGTCTAATCCCTCCTGGCCAAACTAGTACAGACAGGCTTTAAAGTAATATTCATAATGGTATTCTGTTTTTGGAAAATCCATATCACGTTTATCTTAGCAGCCACCTCACTATAATGGTCACATAATTAAAGTGCTTCGATCCCTCTAGGAAGAAACGTGTATTGTAGAAAGGCCACCTGTCTACAGTGGCCAGTTTCCTGTTTCTCATGGGTGGCCATTATAGACAGGTTAGGATTTTTGTATTATCTTTCTTCCAAGCTTATGCAGCATGTGCAAATCAGAAGGCTTTATCAGTACATGTGGCGTTAAGATTCCTAGAAGTATGAGTGCTGACTGGTTTTAACACTGATTGGAAAAGGAAATAAACAAGTTTCAAACTGTGTTTATTGGTTATGACCGGGTGAATACAAACCCTAAGATAATTCTGGCCGGAATCTATGGTGAATTCACGTTATACCAGAATCAAATCAAATCCAACGGGTTAACAAATTTTGTTCTTCCACAGGTGACTGCCACAGATCCGGACCTCTCCGGTACCCTAACGTACACCTTCGTGCCGGCCGACCCAGACTTCAACTACATCTCAGGAACCATCCGCACCAACACCCAACTGGACGCCAACCAGCAACAGGTCTACCAGATGACCGTCTTCGCTTCGGACGGTGTCCAGAACTCGCAGTCAGCACCGGTGACCATCAACGTGCTGGACGTGAACACTCAGGCACCGTTCTTCGGGTTGGGCACCTATGTCAAGTCGCTTCCAGAGGACTCTCCTTTCCAGACCCTCGTCGTTGATCTGAATGCTACAGATCCGGACAATGGTATGTATTTTTAAAATTGTCCACTTTTTGAAATCTCTCGTTCCCATAGGCGAATACATGCAGGGACCACCAGGTTCTAGTAGGAAATGGGTCAATTGTGCCTTTTGTTTACTTCACGCGTATATTTTTGTCATGTTACCGATTCTGAAAAATATTTTTGAGTGGCTAGTTTGGGCAAAGACTTTATTAATAGTAGAATAATTTTTTTCAATTTCAATTTATTTATTCAACCATAAAAATACATATACAATAATAATTCAGGAAAATATAAAAACATGGGGTTAGGAGCCCCTGAAGAAGTTTGAAAACAAACTTGTGATTGGGGCACCAACCATGACACATATATCGAGAAAATTAACAAAAACAACATTAACGGGAAAACAAATATATACAGGAAAAAAGATTATAAAGACCTACATGAGGATAAGACATTTACAGCAAAGCACCAGCAAAGGACGCACACAGGACACGACGTCAAGCGACACTGCATCCCTATATGCGCCCCCCGCTGGCGCTTTGCAGTATTACAAAACATTTCTGCATGTTATATCACAGCTAAAGCCCAGTGAATACACCTAGGACCCTTTATTGTTGCCTTTGTTGTCCAAATTTTAGTACACTGTAAGCTTTCTATTCAGAGTAAAGGTCAAGTCGGTAACAAAGGTATGTCTGATTTGATGTCACTATGCAGGCCCGTGCACACATGTCAATTTAGTGTGATTTGGATCGCGATGCAAAGATCAATTTTTTTTTTGGCGAATATTCACACACAGGAAGAATTCTGGCTCGATGTCAATTAACGTCCGAACTGCACATGCACACGCAATTATTCTGAAAAAACAGCAAGACTTACTGCAAATTAAAATCGCGAAGATTAGTGAAATTTTTCTGTCCAGACAGGCCCCCCCAAAAAAAGATTTTTGGATCCCGATGCAAAAATCAATTTTTTAAATCTCACTTTTTTTTTACAATCCCTTACAGTTTGGCTTTTCCTTCTACAATAATGATAATAATAATATTTCGCTTTTATAAAGTGCTCAATACATGTCTCTATGCACTTTACAAATATATTTACTTGCTTTCTTAACAGTCTGGTAAAACAAACAAACCAACCAATATACATGTTCATGTAAAAAGATAATTCTGATCAGTGAAAGAAAATTGCGTCCTTCCTGCATGTAAATCTGCAGGAAACATCGGACTGATCATCTACAGCTTTGAGAGCCTGAGCCGAACTCAGGGACCCTTCACCGTCGAGCCCTACACCGGCGTCATAGATATCTCAACGACTGCTGGCCTCGATAGAGAGACTCAGGACGAGTACACCATGATCGTCATTGCTGTCGACCAACCGGTCAGTGGTCAGCCTATGACTGGCACGGCCACCGTCTCAGTGATAGTGACCGATGTCAATGACAATGCACCGACTTTCCGCGACATTTCGTACGAGAAATCGATTTTCGAGAATCATCCTCTGGGCTCAAATATTCTCACTGTAAGTATTTGAGCATTAACATATTGAAAGGTGTACTTATCAATCTTAGATTTAAATTCTTTGAAGTCAATGGTTCTGAAATATTTATGTCGTCATCTGACATTCATCATCAAGTCAGTGCCTTGCTGGACTCACAAATTACAAATCTACAAGTACTGCACCCCAGAGGGTTTGTTAATGCTGGACATCGGTTTCTATGCACTGTTCACCCAATGCACAGCTTCATTCTGTACATAAAACTCGAGTTAGTTTCAAGTATGACCCACTCATTATACCCTGTGAAGCTTTAAACAACGCCTGTTGCAGTCTAGGTCCCCAGGTCTCTCACAGTTTCTTAAGGGATTCCTATGTAATATTGCACTTAAAATTCATGTATATGTATAGCGACAAAAAGCTGTCATTTAGCGACAAAAAGCTGTCATTTTGTCATACTTTGTTCTACCACTTTTGTATTAAACTGATGAAATGTGTGAGATCTTTCAAATTGACCACATGTTGCAACACTGCAAATTATGAAGTTTCTTTGATTTTTGAGTGTCACTCTGAGTAGAAAAAGTACTTCATTTTCCCAACTGTCTTTTCAAACTTGATTTCACTAAAAGGTCCAAGCCGATGACCTTGACTTGGGTGTGAATGCTGTGGTTCTCTACCGTATCATCAGCGGAAACAACAACAACCTGTTTAACGTTGACGGTCAAGGGAACATCAACCTCGGGAACACACCTCTGGATCGGGAGATGCAAGACCAGTATTTCCTTATCGTTCAGGCGTATAACAGCGACCTATCAGTGGGAACCAACGAAGGTAAATTGGATTCTGTAATGAAAAGCTTGTATTTGAATGATTCGTTGATCTAACATTTGCTTAGGGCATTTTTTTTCCTCACAAAACGGTCATAAGTACAAGTTCAAGGACATCTTATTAAAGCGTATGTATTAAATTAACATGCATTGCAATGGGCGGTCAGCGACCTGGTACTTGTGATAGTTTTGTGAAATGATGCCCTGTTTTCAAAGATATACATGTAGGGTTTTGTCTAGGAATTCCACTGGTCACGGAAATTAATGGAGCAATTGTAGCCTCATCATAAATGATTCTCATTCTTGACAATACATTTATCAGAATTTGTGATCGTGCTTGTGATTGCTTTAATATAGAAGATGAATTGTGTAATCTTGTTTTGAGTAAGCCAATCTGCCTAAAAAGACAACTTTGTGTTAATAAAGATAACACAAATAGGGCCATTTAAACAGAACAAAATATACCTGTACAGGTACCATATGTATGGTAAGTAATTTGGTAAAAAAGATATTTTCAATAATCCTCCTAATTGTTTTTTATTTGATTTCTGTCTCACAGCGCCAGTGATCATCATCATTCTTGACATCAATGACGTGACCCCGTTGTTCCAGCAGCAGAACTATTATAGGCCAGACCTGTCGGAGAACTCACCTAGTGGGACCCCAGTCCTCCAGGTCTTCGCACAAGATCAGGACCTGGACTTGGCAGGCGATGTGCAGTATAGCTTGATTGGTAAGTTCCTATCTGAATGAGACCCTTAATTGCCTATGTTTCTTCTATGTATGCTCATTATGTCAGTATATCAAGGCCAATGATTTTATGTTTTGGACTGCACGTAATTTACCTTGAATTTATCTTAAATTTTACCAAAAATTTGAAGAAAAGAAAATTGGATTGAGGATTAAAATTTTCCTTGATTTTGGGCATAAAGTATAACAAACATATTTGATCCTCTGCATCTTCTTGTGGTGAAGTTCCTGCATGTTGTGTTACTATTATCACATGATTATTTTTTTTTTTCTTTTTTTGAAACAGAAATGGATGCATACTTGTGATGTACATTCCTATAGAATTTGTAAAATGCAGAATAATTAACTATTATAATTAATAATTAATAATTAAAGATTAACTCTTTATATGCCACGCATATAATTTCCCTGTGCCACATTGTATCATCATGGGGTCTACATGTACGTGTATATATACCTACAGCTTAAAAGATTATATAACTGTTTCCAGTGCAACATTAATCAATCCTGGTACTAAAAGGGCTGTACACTTGTAGCTAAACAAGACTGGAAATCTGTAATTTTGCAAAGAAATTATGTTGTACAAAGCAAACCTTCCATCAAGTGCTGCCTACTGTTTGGTGCAGATTTGAGCATTTGGCAAACGAGCAACCTTGTATAGATGAGATGAAAGCAACCGAAGTGTTAATCTTGTCCAAAATGTACTCTCTTCAGGTAACCCTAACTTCTTGACCATCAACTCTGACACTGGGGTCATCTCGGTCAACGGTCCCATTGCTGACCTCAGTGGGTCAAGGAACTTTACCATGACCGTCAGAGCCACCGATCAGGCCAGCCCGTTCCTTAGGGGCATGGCGACGGTTACCGTGACGGTCGTGGACGACACTGTGACAATACCGATATTCACTCTATCAAGATATCCTGCAACTGTGAATGAGAATGTTAACGCTGATACACCTGTGACCAGGGTAAGTTTAGTTGCTGAAGCTTGTTTTGTATGATCTCCAGTTTGCTCCATATCAGTGCTCTTGTTATGCCTCCGCAACAAAGTAGCCGGAGGCATTATGTTTTTGAGTTGTCCGTACGTCCCGTTCTCGTGATCGCGTTATCTCAAGAATCAATTGATGGATTCCCCCCGAACTTGGGTCATGTATGTATCTTGCATAGCCAATGAACTGATTAGATTTTGGGGTCATGAGGTCATTGGGCTCATTGTGTTTTCAAAAATAGCTTGTGAACGCATCATTAGAACCACCAGATGGATTACTATCAGAATCAGGACATGTATGTATCTTGCAGAGCCATCTATATGAAAAATAGCTGAATATAAAGAACTCATTACTATTTTCATATATAAATGTTATTTATAACTTTATAACTCAGCGGCCTAGAAATCCATTGACCAGAGGTTACTATAATAGCATCGTAGAGCACATAAGATTTTAATATAATGCACTATTCAAATGTAATAACTTTTTCTTCTCATTATAATCAATATTTTGAAACAGGTTTCTGCTACATTGAATGGAAACCCAGCTGGTATAACATACGCCATCGATCCCAACGCTAGCCCTGCTGTCTTAGAAATCTTCAAGATTGAAGAGAATACCGTAAGTCTATCCAAAGTGAAAAAAAAAATTCATATCAGTTTGTGCGCTATGTGTATCATTTCATGCCGTGGAAATCGTTTAGATCAAAATAATGCAAATAGAGTTGTGCATTATAAAAAAAAGTAAGATAAAATTTGTATTCTGGATGTTTGTTTTATATCCTGGCCACACCAGCAAGACGGACACTAGACAAAATATAATAATATATTACCCCCAATGACAAAAAATCAGTCAGTTTTATAGAGTTGGTGTGGCTTTGGTGGTGTAACTGACATATTAAATGCTAAAGAGATGAACTTCCTTTCAGGTTTTCCTCAGTAATAAGTATATGATTCTATTATACTGTAACACTTTCCTGATTTTATTCCTGTATTGATGACTGATAAATAATGCTTAGCAGTCAATATACAGTCAAACCTGCTTTTAGTGACCACCTGTCTACAAAGACCAACAATTTTGTTTACCCTGGAAATGGTTTCTGATTGAAACATAACTAAAGGAACCTGTACATAAAGACCACCTGCCTATAAAGACTCTTGTCTCCCTTGGGTGGTCTTTATAGACAGTTTTCACTGTACATGTACTTGTACATGTATTTACAGTATGCATGAGTCCCACAGAGTTGAAAGGTCATGTATGAAGAATAACTGCAGAATCACAAAATTATGCCAGCAGACTGATCAACATGTTGTGATATCGTATCCCACCGCTGCCACTGGTTCTATTATGTGAATGGAATTTTATGTAAAATAACACTTTCTCTCTTTTACAATGTCCTTGCAGGGTCACATCACCACTGAGGGCGCCATTGATCGAGAGGTCGAGGACTTCTACGCCTTCACGGTCTTTGCCTATCACGAGGATAGTGTCGCGCCGGGTTCTACATCGGTGTAGTAACATTCTTCTGATAAAATCACTTGGAATTCAGCGCGGCAAACCTAGAAGTTACTTTTTGGCAGTCAGGGAAAAGTCAACAAAATCACCCAAATCAGGGAATTTCATTGGCATAGAGAGACTCTTGTATTTTTTCTCGAGTTAGGAAAGGCTTATCCACGGGGTGAAGACGTCTCATACTAGATATTAGATTGAAATATGATCCTGGAATTTCAAAGAGTTTAAATATTAATGGCTGGACTCGTTCTACGCCAACGCTTCTTTATGTGTACAGGTATAATAAGTGCAGTCAAAGCTGTCTTAGTGGCCATCTCTCTAGAAAAGCGACCTGTTTATAGTGGTCGCCCATTTTGACTCCCAAAAGAGGGAGTTTTCTAAGATAGGCCTACTGTCTACAGGGCCCACTTTTATGTTTCCCTTGGGTGGCCTTTGTAAACAGGTTTTGCATGTAATGAAATTAAATGCTCCTTTCTAGGTCTGGGTAAATATCCTTGATGAGAATGACAATCCACCAGAGTTCATCACCGTACCCCCATCACCAGTGAGTGTCCAGGAGAACACCGGAGGGAACGTCCCTGTAGGGGTCTTCAGGGCTACGGATCCAGATGCTGGTATTAATGCACAGGTGAGGACCATGAAGAATCAGGAGGAGGAGGAGGAAAACGATGATGATGATGGTGGTGGTGGTGGTGGTGATGGTGGTGGTGGTGGTGGTGGTGGTGATGATGACGATAATGGAGATGATGATGGTGATAGAGATGATGATGATGATGATGATGAAGGTGATGATTGTGATGGAGATGATAATGATAATGAAATCAGGAAATGAGGAGGAAAAGGATGATGATGATAATGTTGGCGAGATGGATCATGCTGATTCTAAAGATGAAGATGAGGAGGATGATGGTGGTGTTAGAAACCATGTTTGAATTTTATTGTTTATTGGGGGGGGGGGCAATTGTCCCCCTATCCAAAGCCTCCCCCTCCCCCATCAGTACCCCAGTGGGGAGGAGGAGGATGGTGATGATGGTTATGATGTTCATAATCACAATTTTTATGTGAAGGATGATGGTAATTGTAAAGGTGTTACATGTGCGTGTGCTGATGTTGTTGATGATGACATTGATGATACTTGAATCACAGTTGATTATATTTTCTCTTTCAGATGACCTTCACAATCTCGGGGGCGGGCTCCAACTTTTTCAACGTCTTCCAGACGGCTTATGGTGGAGGTACTATTGTAGTAACCAGCCCACTTGATAGAGAGAGGCAGGACTTCTATCAGCTTACTGTAAGTCTTTAACTGTGGATCTTAAAATTACCAGTGACCTATATGTACACCTAATACCCAATACATGATAATATCTCTGCTAGTCATAGAATCCAGGAAAACCTACATGGACATTGATACTTAGCCCTGCCATAAAATGATTGGACATGTTTAATTTCCCACGCTTTTCTTTGTTAAAAGAAATTGGTACATATGTCTCTCTTTTTAACCGTTTTAGTGTGATTGTTTAGTAGTGAATAGGAAGTCCATTATCTCTCAATCCTAACGGCCAGTAAAAAAAACATCAATCAATAAACTGGTTACCAGGAATCAATCTTTGATTTAAAGACTTTCCAGTAATTTAAGTATCACTCAGTCATTTGGTGAATTGCATGATTTGTCACACCATCAAATACATGTAAAGTAGTCAGTATTCAATCAATGTTCATAAATTATTCAATCCTTTATTCATTCAGGTATATAATCAATGTTTTAGAGTTAATCAATCTGTCAGATATTTACAACATACTACTGCCTCCAAATGTGTATGCCATGGATGAACCTAAATTCTAAAACATTTATCAGTCAGTAAAGCTTAGTAAGTCAGGGGGGTGTTTCACAAAGATTCTAAGTCGAACTTAAATCCAAGTTGGACTTAAAAATTATGGAGAGCCAATTGTAGCCTTAAAATAAAATATATTCAAAAGCAAAAATTGAAGTATTTTAGACTTTTCATAAATTCCACATCTATGATAATAGAACATATGAATGAATTGAACCGACATTTTATGCCTTTTAAAATAACTTTTACAAAATATTTTCAAAAATGCTAACTGCTTTCCATAACGGTTAAGTCCAACTTAGGGATAAGTTCAACTTAGGATCTTTGTGAAACACCCCCCTGGTTATATCAGAGGATACAATGCTAAAGTTGATGCACTGTACTATCTGAATACAGGTGACAGCTACCGATGGTGGAAATCCTTCTCTGAGCTCCTCCTTCCCACTCAACATCACTGTGACCGATGTCAATGATAACTACCCCATATGGACACGCAACGTCTACGAAGGATCAATAAATGAGGTAACAAGAACTCTTCAGGCCTGATAATTACCCGATTTAAATCGGTTTCCCAATTTTTTTATTTTTCCCCGATTTTTTTTTTTTTTTGGGGGGGGGGGTTACCCAATTTTTTGTCTTTTTCTTCTTTTCATTTTTTTATTCCCGATTTTATCCCTATTTTCCCCTTTTTTTCTCTATTTTATTCCAGATTTTATCCCTATTTTCCCCTTATTTTCTCTATTTTTCCCCTTTTTTTTCTTTTTTTTTTCTAAAGGGGGTCATGGTTGAGGGAAAACAAAACTTTTTTTTTTAGTGCTCACTATCACTCTTGACTCTTACAACTTTGATGAACATCTATAATGCATTTCTGAGAAATAGTACTCCTCTTGACTTCTTCCAAAAAGATCTGTAAACTTAACTCTACAATTCATCATTTATCCTAAGACTATAAAGGGGCAGCGCCTTGTGTCCCCTGGAAAAGGCGGTGTATTAATTCAATTCTTATTATTATCATTAATTACAGGTCTGCATAAATTCTCATAGAATGATATACTTAACTTTTGTCATCAAAATCTAGGTTGTATGCAGTGTCATTTTTGTAATATCCCAATGATCAAAGGTGATGCGTGGGCATTTTGATTTGGTTGTCGATAACCTCTCTTTTGTCTTTCAACTTTTTCAGGATTCATGTTGAAACAAAGAGTTATTTTTTTACGTGACTTTCACACAATTTTCTTCTTACCAAATTTTAACAGAATAACTTCACCTCCAACCCCATTATCACGGTGATGGTCAACGATCTCGATCTCCCGTCGTCCAACAACTTTGAGTACTCCATCATCGCCGGTGATCCAATGGGCATGTTTGAGATCAACAGTAACGGAGAGATCACTGTGTCCAGCCTCTTGGACAGAGAGCAGCAAGAGACCTATCAACTGACCATTGAGCTTATAGACCAGACCAACTCACCTCCAGCAAGGGTAAGTGGGAATAATAATGGTAGTAGTGGTAGTAGTGGTAGCCGTAGTCATAGTGGTCCTGGTAGTGATAACGGTAGTATAAGTGGTAGTAGTAGTAATGGAAGTAGTAGTAGAAATAGTATTAGTATTAGCAGTAGTAGTAGTAGTAGTAGTCATGGAAGTACATATGTATTAGTAGTAGTAGTAGTAGTAGTAGTGGTAGTAGTGGTGGTAGTGGTAGTAGTAGTGGTGGTGGTAGTTGTAGTAGGAGTAGTAGTAGTAGAAGTAGTGGTAGTAGTAGTAGTAATAGTAGTAGCAGTGGTAGTAGCAGCAGCAAACTTGTATGACTTTCTCAAACATGCACAGGGCGTTTACAGGAAATATTTAATGTACAGTACATTTTCACAACCACTTTCATGTGATGATGCTACATGGATGTTCAAATCCATGTAGGAAGTAAATTTGATTATTTGTCAAGAGGGTGCTGCACCTCGGTGACCAGCTTTCATTTTTGGTCCTCATTTTGTTGTGTATATGATACCAATTAATGTACAGTTAATTGAACTATGAGCAAAGTAAATATCCATTGACATTAAATTTGAAATTGAATTGAGATTGAATTTATATAACAAACTATCACTTTAATAAAAACCACTACAGACTACCACCTTGGCTATCATCACCGTGGGAGATGAGAACGACAACACACCTATCTTTGACGAGACCGTCATCAGGGTCGACGTGACGGAGGGGCCGTCGTCTCAGAATATTCCAGTCTACATGCTGACGGCGAATGATATTGATCTAGGATTGAACAGGGATATCATCTATGCCATCGGATCTCAACAGCCTCAATCTCATTTCCAGATTAATATTGTGACGGTAGGTGCCATTGCGGTAGCAATTCTGTTTCATACCACTCTCCATTCTGGAAACAAATATGGGTACCGATAGGAAGGAATTCCTTGATTGATGTGGGCACTGGAATCATTAGTCTACATAAAACCTGGGTACTATTGGAATGCGTCGAGCACCTTGCCTGGTGGATATGTGCACTATAAAATATCTAGGGTTGTTACTTTTACTATATACATTTTAATCTCACCAAATCTATTGCAACTACTCTAGAATTGCACATAAAACTTTTCATCGGGCTGAAATTACACACATGTTGTTGGATCAAATCCCACCACTGCCACTGGTTTTGTTTAATATTCACTTATTCTATTGAAACAGTATGGTTATAAGGCTGCTATATAAATCCAATCATCCAATTTATTATTATTGTTTTTGTGGTTGTGTTGTTATTATTATGATCATTATTAGTATTGTTATTATTATTATTATTATTACTATTATCATTAATATTATTATTTTTATTATTCTCTATATTGTTATTCTTATCATCATCATCATTTTATGATTTGTATGATTTCTATGGCAGTCAAATGAAAATTCAACAAAATTATGCCAGCAGACTGAAATGATTCACATGTTGTGATATCGTATCCCACCGCTGCTACTGGTTCTATTATGTGAATGGAATTTTATATGAAATTCTATAAAATTGGTCGAAAGAATGATTATTTTGGCATGCTGTCAGCTCAAATCCCATTACTGCCACTTAATGTAGTATCATATTTGTTGAGTGGGATTTCTATTTGTATGTACGCTGTTCACATACAGCATCTAACATTTAAACAAGTCCATTTCTTTTCCCCCTTTTTTACATTTTTATTTCTAGGGTATGATATCGACAACCACTGCTCTAGACTGGGAGACTATATCGGAATACACCCTCATCGTGACCGCTACCGACCAGTCACCAACAGAACCTAGGACTGGCACTGCTACAGTGAGTACTCAACACATCTACACGCTTGAATGCAGTCTTAATGTACAGGGGTTGTATTCTGAAAACTGTTGTCGTTTATGTTAGAAATATCATGTTTATTGTCATAATGAATTTAAATTGCATGGAATTTGTAGTTATTGGTGTTTGTGCAGATGGCTCTTGAAGATGTGTATGGGAACGCAGCCAGCTTTCGGCACACATTAATCAAAGACAAGTCTAAGACAGTTTTGATCTGTTATGACTTTTAACATTGTCTTTGTAACAACAAAGATACAATCCTTTTCTACTCCTAGTTCTACAGTATTTATATCAGTACACTGTATATACGTTAAAATGAAAAGAAGGACCTTGATTTTTTTTCTTTATCCAATTCAAATACACATGAAGATGTTTTCTATGTTCACATCTAAAGAAGATCAATGTTTGCCAACAAAACTTAAAAGGTTTTTTTCATGGTTTTACTCATTAAACGTGTTATACAACAAAGCCCTTGTCAAGAAACCTTCTTTCATTATTTGCCTTCGATAAGATTCAAGAAGGGGCATTGTTTTAAAAATATCAATTTAATTCTCATATCACATATATATCATAGTCTTATCAAAAGAAGATACATGTAGTATCAATGATTGATTCTCCACTCATTCAAATATCAAATTCAATTCACTTATTATAAGATGCTTCCATCAAACCGAACTGTTTCTCCCTCCTTTAATTTCACTGGAGCATTTCAAGAGACCATACATTTAATCAACACATTGTAATGAGTCCACATCAAAAGAAGATAAATGCATGCAAAGTGTATACATATATTAAAGTGTCAATAAATTTCAAAGTGTATTTGATGTAGAAAAATAAAGATATAACATATGAAATACATGTAGTATACATGAATCATAATAGAAAAGTTTTACAAGGGGGGGCTGAAATTGTGGGTGGCTTTAATCTACACGTACCATTCTGTCTCTTTGTCGAACACCAGGTGATCGTCAGCGTGAATGACATCAACGATGGTGCCCCTATGTTTGTCAGGGATGTCTACGGACCATACAGCGTCGTGGAAGAGGTTTCCAACTCCTACATTGATTCTTTCCAAGCAACAGACACAGACCAAGGACAAGCAGGAACGGTCACCTACCACGTGATAGGACAGTATAGTAGTAAGTATGGTATTCTGTGGCATTCTACAGAAATGGTGGAGCCGTAAGGCCCATTTAGACATAAGCTTGTAAACTGCTCTTATAATCTTGTCTACAAAACTTCTTCAGCAAAAGTTAAGATCGGCATACTATGCTTCACATTTCTGTAGCCTGTAGCACACAGAGTAGGGATTTTTTGTAGTTTAAATGCCGCAACAGTATATCTAATGGACTTAACGGGCAACAGGGTGTAAATTGATACCCGATATGCTAGAGCACTGAATATTACGACTGGGGCAATAATGTTGGAGTACCCAGATTGTCACATTGATACGGACACGAGTGCTATACTAAAAGCCACCATTACTATTATTATTAGCCTTTATCTAAAAAGCACATGTACATGTACCGGCGTGCATTCATTTTATACTTCTGTGTATTGTTTAGCAACTTGATTGACTTTCATATCCCACTACCTGATATCTACACCTACAGATTTGTTCTTCATTCAGCCTCAAACTGGTGTGTTGACTATCAGGCCTGACAGAGCTCTAAATTACGAGACGATCACTCAATTCAACATCACCGTGGTCGCCATGGATATGGGGAACCCTGTTCTATCATCGTCGGTGAGTATGACTATACATATATAATTTGGCTTTACCCTTATTGAAATTAGTTAGATGACTGCAGGTCAGGAGGAGGACACTAAATGCTTCCGATAAAGCTTACCATTTCCTGATGTGAACTGCTGTGATAATAATGATTAGAAAAGTCTGAAACAAAGTCATCTTGACATATATATGTGAGTACATGTATCTGGCAGAAAATGCCTGTTTAGAGCCAGGACGTTAACTCATATACTTTCACAGACAATTTATACATGTCTATCGATTTTTACTTCATGCAGACTGTAGTTGGAATCAATGTCATCAACATCAATGACCACACCCCTATCTTCGAGGGGATCCCATACACCATCACCCTCAGCAAGAACATCTCAGCAGGCTCACTGGCGTACGTTGTCAGGGCAACGGATGATGATGCTGGCATCTTTGGCGAGGTCCGGTATCAGATCACAGATGGAAACACCGACAACATCTTCAGGATTGATCAAACGGTCAGTTTGATTGAGATTACTTTCATGTTTATTAGCACTTTGCTTTGAGGCTTTATTAACCCATTGCCAGCAGGTACAGAGAGGCCTCTGTATTAAGCCTATGGGAGTGAGAGAATTTAGCTGTCAATGGGTTCATTACAGTTTTCTTGCTGTATATTAGATGTCTCTATGATGATTTTGTTGTCTTTTAGTCCATCTTTAAATAATTGACTGTGAAACCTGTCTATAAAGACCACACACGGGGGACAATAAAAGTGTTCTCTATAGGTAGGTGTAAAAATGTAAATATAAGTACTAAATTGGGTAACACTGAGTACATGTAGAAAAAAATCATGAATACATTCAGTATGATTTATACATAGACATATACATGGTGTTAAATACCTGTAGTTTAAATTGTAAATACTTACCCAAAAGAAAACATATTTTTCTACGTATTTAGGTTCACTAATTCATTGTGGTAAGAATTAACAATGAAGCCATGTTTTGAAAATCAATATTCAATTCCTACATACATGTATAGTATGTGTGGATGCTGTTTGTACATACTTCTTTGATAATTATGTAGTATATTTCCAGTTTTCCACCTTGTACCCGTTCATTTGCTTATCGGTGAGGTCTCGTGGGTTGCTAGAGACTATATAGTACAGGTACATGTACATATAGTATCTAGGATACATACATTCATTCTATTTGTCTCTATTACTTGTTAATTTTACAGACTGGTCAGGTCTTTATAGAAGGGTTATGGAAAACTTGTACCCCTTAATCAAATCATACATACAATCTTTTATGGCTTCCACATTGCTTATTCATTGTACAGACTGATTAGGTCTTTACAAAGGGATTATTGAAGAATGGTACAGTGTACCTACATGTATTATCTAGTAATACATACCGGTACATTCTATTTTTCCCTTTTACTTGTCCACACAACCTACTCATTCCTATTTCTCGTCATTGTACAGACAGATGTTTGTAGAAGGTCTGTTGGAAACGGGTACCTTTAATCTAGTAATACATGTACAATCAACTTTTCCATATCATTCATTTAACAGACTGGTGAGGTGCTTTTACATGTAAGAGGTTTATTGGAGTCGGGTAACTACAAGCTAGTTGGACATGTACATGGACTTACAATATTGTTAATTTTTGATTACTCGAGAAACTATACCACTTGTTGATTTTCTTATTTATATAATTGTTTTATATATGTATTGTGAAACAATATTTTCATGTATGAATGAAGTTTACTTACTAATAAAATTCAATTCAATCTATTTCCCCCTATTAATTGTTAATTTTGCAGACTGGTGAGGTGTTTGTGCAGGGACTATTGGAGACAGGTACTTATCGTCTTGTTGTAGAAGCAAGGGACACACCTGGAGACATACCTAGCTCAAGAGCTGTAAGTATTCTTTAGCGACCCTTAAGTTACAATGCACAAAAATTGTAATGTTTCATGATATTAAAAACCACAAAATTGTTAAGTCTGTAGGATTAATATACATGTATTCATGTACATGTATATCAGCATGTGAATCAGGTTGAAAATACATCATTCTGAAAAAGTGCTTAACCATTAACTAACCAAAGCGCTTGACTATTTTGCACATCAAATTGCACATTCTACCTTCCCTGGGGAGCATTTCAGCTAGTAAGAGGTCTCAATGTTGATTGTTTTATTTTCACTTGCGTGAATAAATTCTTATCTTGTTTTTTTCATGCTTTGTTATTGTTTTTTTTTTCTTCTTCAGTCGTCCACAACTTTGACTATTGTAGTAACGGATATCGGAGACTTTGCACCGACCTTCCCTGGAAGCTCTCTCTTTACTGGCAATGTCTTTGAGAATTCACCAGTAGGACAGCCTATTACCATGGTAATGCAATACTTTTGGTCTTATTTATATTTTTTCGAATCTGTTTTGCTGGAATTCTATCTGTCTTAACTTTGCTCGCAATGAATTCTCTGAGCTACATGTCTTTAGTTTAAGGTTTGTATATTACGTTCTTAATTTGTAACTATTTAAATATACTTGTACTTGATTGTTTTTTTTACTTTGTGAAGCACATAGAGAAACTTCGGTTTATTATGCGCTCAATAAATCTATCTTTATTATTATTATTAGTTTACAAATGTGGTCTAAATCTAAACCTAATTCATACACATATCACACTTACTCAAAATGAGTACAATCGTTTATTTCTTCATTTCAATCTTGAATGGATTAAACTGACAAACATGCTAATATAGTTTTATTTACCATTTTCTCTATGTCTTTCAATCAGATTCCTCCCATCCGAGCTATTAATAGTGATGCTACTGGCCAGCTCGTCTACACCATTACCGGTCCCGACTCGCAAACATTCATGATCAATCAACTCTCAGGTAATTAGAATGCCCAACAAAATATTGTGAACCTTCTCCTTGATTCCTAAAGAAGACTCAAAAATATCCCTATACATACAGTGTGTACATGTAAGTAGAATGCTCACCGGGAGTGGAGAATGTGTACTCTAGTGACTGTGATACTAATAATACTGTAAACGCTTTGGTAAGTTAAAAAGCACTGCGTAAGAAACAGGTATTGTTATTATTTAATTCTGTTACAAGCAGCATTGACAGTATGTACTCATCAATTTTTATGAAATGTCAATTTACTTCTGGTTAGAACTTTTAGATGAAAGTAGTCTTTGTTTGTATGAAATCAAAACCATTACTTTTTTTCTTCTTAAAAATGTGAAATAGTTATTATTTATGTTTATCCTGTCATTTCAAGACATTTCCAGTTTTTAAGACCCTAGGAAGTCCATACATGACAGTAAAATAATCATTTGTGCACAGGTAATATTTTGTAGGTAAAATATTTTACCATCGTACATTGTACACTCAGCACTCTGGCTGTGATGCAATTATGTTTAGTAAAACATTATTAAGTAAACATACTCATTTAAAAACAGGGATTTTACAGGGATGCAAAACTTTGCTCGTTTTTTGTCTAGCCGGAATTCAAGTGAATGGACCTCTAGACAGGGAGACCAAAGATTTCTACGAATTTAGGGTGATCGTCACTGATTCCATGGGTATGACTGCAGAGGGCACTGTTCATATCAACGTTCTGGACGTGAATGACTTTGCGCCAGCATTCAACGATTCCGTCTACAACTTCACCATCCCAGAGAATTCACCTGGAGGTAAAATAAGGAATCATTTAAATAAATGAAATCGTTGCTGTTGATGTGAGAGAGGTAACAAGAAGAGAGCGGAGGTGAAATGATTTGTTGCAAATGGAAGTGGGGGGGGGGGTCACTCTCATACACAATCGCTACCCACTCGTGTTCATCAACCTCTGAAATGGACCCTAATGGCGTATCACACTTTTTCTGAAATGACCCTTTTTAAAGAAAATGTTTTCTGGACGCGGGTGTGTAGCCAGTCATGTTAGGAGTGACCCCCCCCCCCCCCCCGGGGGAGACAGGAAGGAAAACCCATGAATAGGTGGTAGAGAAATTTATTTGGAACAGGCTACAGACATGACGAGATGGAGAGCGGTTACGAGGGAACCCAACCCCCAATAGAGGGGATACACGGGATGATGATGATGATTGCTTCTGTAGCCTTTTATAGCCATGAGCACCAGAATACTTGGTTTGTGTCTAGTGAAATGTACATGATATGGACCTTCCTATAAACATCTTGTACAGCTAAGTATAGAGTAATACTGCAATGTCAATTTAGGAATAACTTTTGCATAACTTACAGTGCAATTGGTGTAATTAATTCTCTATTTCCATAAGAAAGAAATAGAGAGGGACATTTATTTCTTCCCCCCACCCCATCTCATTTATACCACAAAAACGCTGTGATTAATTTTTCGCGCTTTGCGATCCCAAAACATATTCCCGGGTTCTTATATTCAGCCCTTTCAAAACACACATTATAAGTCATGCTTATATATTTTGTTAATTTAATGTACCACAAATATTTAGGCGTGTACAGTATGTTGCATTTAAGGAAAATCAACAGAAGGCCATAACATGTAACTACATTTTGAGCTATAAGTATGAAATGTATTTTAGGCAAAGAAATGTCAAATGGGCTTGTTTGACTGCTAAATGATGTATGATTATACATATGTACTCAAAGATATTGGTGTGTACATGTAACATACTTGTTTGGTGTGTACATGTACTTGTTAAATGTGTACATGTATCATACTTTTTCAAAGGCATAAGTCACAATGACGACTTTCATATTTCTTTGATCCCAGGCTATTATGTTGGAGGTGTAACGGCATACGACCTTGACGGAGACAATGTCAACTTCTTCATACAGACAGGAGGAGAGGATAAGTTTGATATCGGAGGCACATCAGAAACGATTACAGTAAGTTTAGAGCCCTGTTGCACAAAACTTACCATTGATGGTAACATTGCCATCAAAGGTAACTACCATGGAAACCTTGATTTTGATTGGCTGTTGAGCCCTGTTACCATGGTAGTTTCTATTGATGGCAAAGTTACCATCAATGGTAAATTTTATGCAACGGGCCCAGAATTAATTTTCAAATCATTTATATCATGTTACATTTCTGCTATGTGACATTCCTTCTATTATTTTCATGACTTTGACATCCATCAACTCTACCAAGTGCTCTTTGTTCTCAAAATAACCCTGAACATCTCAAAACACATCTTTTCAATGATGCATTTAATTAAATCATGTTTCGTAGATTAATTTCAGTTAATTAATTTTGTTGTCTTATATTGTTTTGTATCTTATGTGTAGAATAAGGTATTATCTTGGATGTAAAAGGCATTGAGAGTTCTGTCAGTTCTGAAATGCGCTATATAAAAATGAATCATTATTATCATTATCAATATATTTTCAGTGTATGCAAATTGTATGTATGTTCTAAGCCGCTATAACTTTTATTATTGTTGTTATCATTTATCTGTTTGTTTTAATCCATCAGGTCACACCTGGAGCAGTGTTAGACCGAGAGGAGAAACCCTTCTACACCCTGACCGTCATGGTCTCCGACCTACGTAACCCGCCCCTCAGTGGTACCGCCACCGTCTACATCAACCTCATCGACATCAACGACAGTCCTCCCAAGTTCACCGCCTCCTTCCTGGATCAAATCATCTCCATCCCCGAAGACACGCCCGGCAACACGCTCGTCACCGCGGTAACCGCAACCGATGATGACCTCAACTCCAATATAAATTACCGGATTGTCTCGGTGTCCGTTTACGATGAGGATGATGTCGACATCACATCGTTTTTCGATTATAGGACGGTCTTCAGCCTCAATCCAACAAATGGGAATATAACGCTGACCTCTCCTGTTGACCGAGAGGTCACCGAGAAGTTTGTGTTTTCGATTTCAGCAAGGGATTTGAATTCTCAGAATCCTATCTTCGGCACGAGCCAAGAAAATGGTAAGTGGGTTGGCTTAATGTAACACGATCTTAGATATTTTGTTACTCAAACATCCTCTATAGGGTATCATTTTACAAAACTGGTATAACTTTACATTGGAATACGTGTTAATGTTAACCCATTGGGAGCTGAAATTTCTCATTCTTATTGGCTTAATACAGTTAAACCTGCTTTAGTGACCACCTGTTTACAAAGACCACATTTTTTGTTTCCCTTGAAAATGCTAAAGGATACTGTCTACGAAGACCACTTTTTGTGTTTCCCTTGGGCAGTCGCTATAGACAGGTTTGACTGTACATGAACCACTCGGTTCCCGTAGTCGCAGTGTTAATATAATACACACGTTTCAATGGGATGTTGGTGATCTTGTTCTTACACTTAGCATGGAGAGATTGTTTTGTTTGGCATAGAAAGAGTCAACTTTTTTCCTGCAATGATTTACTGCAGTGAAAGAGAGGTACCCTTTGTAAAAATGAAATAACAGTGAAGTTAGTTTCAATTAAATAATGTTTTAGATGTAAGCATATGATAACAACTTATCACTTCTGAACACCTTTTTCTTCTAGCCCAAGTCACCATTCTTATCACCGACATCAACGACAACCACCCGGCCTTCCAGCCTCCCGGCACCACCTTCATCCTCCGCCAGCTCCCAGAATCCTTTGGAGCAGGAAGCCCAATCCCCGGTAACCTGCTAGCCTTGGATCCAGACCTTGGTCTGAACGGCAAGGTGATGTACATCATTCAGGATCCATCTGGTGTGCCCGTCACTATCGATCAGAATACAGGTAGGCATCTTAGGATCACCCAGATTCTAACCTAAAATCTAATCTAAGATTTAATCTAAAGTAATCCCTAACCACTAACCTTCAATTAAATTATGTTCAGAACAAATTTTGTATCACTCTTGCATGGCTTGGCTTGTAGTGCTCTTATTACAGCTGTTTACTCGATAAAATCTAGCCATAATTGTCCACAATTGTATGTTTTAGACTGGTTTCTCCCATGGTTCAACCTTTAATCATCTTGTAATCTAATTGAACATTTATTGTATTTTCAAGGCAGTGACTTACACAAGACTGTAATTTCCTCAATTTTCTTGATGCAATTTGTTCTGTTTTGATCTTGTTCAACAGGTCAGCTGACCCTCCTGGTGACTGTTGACCGAGAGCAGCAACCCTGGGTCAACCTGACCGTCCTGGCCGTCGACAAGGGCACACCGTCCCTCAACACTAGCATCCCTGTCTACCTTGAGATCATCGACAACAACGACAACAACCCCGTCTTCGGAGCGCAGTCCCACACCCCCACGATCATAGAGAGCGCCCCCATCGGTGCGTTTGTGTTTAATGTCAATGCGACGGATGCTGATAGCGGAGGAAGCGGTCAAGTGACCTATAGTCTGATTGGGGGTGATGGAAAATTCACCATCAATCAAGATACAGTAAGTTCAACAATAAGGTTGCTTTATGTTTCATAAAAATTGTTATAACAGTTTACATTCACTGATTTTTAAGGTACTATGTCCCCTTTGCAGCCAACATCAAATTCTGTAGAGCTTTGCAGGAATTATGAATATGTCACATGTGTCCTATCTGTGAAATTTAAACGCTAGAAGTGTCCTAGTATTCAAATTATGCAAGGAAACCTGTTTACTTTCTAGACTTCACTGTCAGACACTATTGAGTGAGTGACTGACTGACTGACTTCTTTTTTTCTTTGGTAATAACATACATAAAATGAGCTGTAAAAGGTACATGAGCATTTGTCTACATTGATAACCAACTTCTTGTTACGGCCAAAATCAAACTGATTGAATCTTTGTGCAGCACAAAACGTACAAGAATTCGGGACGAGGGTCAGACCGAAAATCAGACCATTACTAAAATAATTGCAATCACTACAGTCGATTTGACAACTAACGGCTGTTATTTTCCCACAAAAAGACATTTTCAAGCCCTTTTGTTTTAAGGGAAGTTCTAAATTAATATTATCTTTCAAATGCCGGTGAAATTTAACCTCTTCTTTTTTTTTAGGCGTGGAAATGGGACATAGTAGTTTTAAGCTAATGAAATCATTAGACTTGTTTACAGATGAGGTAATATTTTTTTTCTTCCAGTGACATAGAAAGTGAGCATGGGTATGAGTACAACTGCAGATAAGAATACCCTGTCCCAGGGCATATTGACATTTGCCAGAGATAACCGTAAAGACTCCATCTTTTTCGTATCGGTGTATTCATGTTCTTTTTTTTCCCCAACCAGGGAGTGATTAATCACTATTTACTTAGCAAGTTGACCCAATCCCAGTACATGTTGATAGTGTTTGCTACAGATAAACCTAGAGATATTATAATGTTCTCACTTTCTTCTTGTTTTGTTTTCTTGTTTTCCAGGGAGTGATAACCCTACTGCAGCAAGTAGACAAGGAGACCCAGTCCCAGCACATGTTGACAGTGTTTGCTAGGGACAACCCTGGGGACTCTGAAGACAGTAGAACAGGCTCAACAACAGTGAGTAATTTTTTAAGCAAAAGTAAACAGAAACTAGACATGTAATACTTGTTTGGAACAAGTATAGGTGGGCTGTTCTAACTAAAATTTGAGAGAAGTTAGATAAAAAATAAGCGAGATACGTACTGCTAAAAAAACATTGTCATGTCGGTTCATGATGTGAACGAAATTCACCTTCCTAAGGCATAACATTAAAATTAAGAAAATTCTGACATGTGACCTTTTATCAAAATTTTCACTATTATGACGTCATCAAAATGAAAAATGGTGAAAACTGAGCTTGTAGAGAATTGCCTTAGCTATAACAACATATCGAAATTTGGAAGAAAATTGATCAATATTTACAGAGATACAATCAATTTTCCATAAATATGCTGATGTTATAATATGCAAATTCGTATTTTGAGTTCCAAGGCCATTATGATGATGTCAAGATACACTTGATGGCCAAACGAGACATAAAATAGTACTCTATCCAAATATGAAAAAAAGAATTGGGGTCCAGGTGCATCCCAAAGAGCTATAATGGATTTTGTATAGGCATGTTTTTGCCCATATATAGTATGTATTACAAGAGCTCGAGCGCACAGACACATATCTTGAATGGACGCCCATCTTGTTATTAATGGTCATAAAGAGATAAATATGGTATGAAATTGTTCAAAAAAATATGGAAAATATCATGAAAGAAATAAAAATGGCAATTCTATGCTGTGTAATGGTGTGCACGATTTTTTATAAAATGCTCAAAATGGCCTTAAATGTATGTAAAATGAATTTGAGACAATTTGGAGCATTTTGAAATTTTATGCGCACTGCCGTTTTTTCAAGTTGACCTGAAATTGACCGGACGGATATTGACCTTGATCATGATATATAGGAATGACAAGTGACTTTCCGTTATGAAGATATGATCATGAGTTGATTTTCAGAAAATTTCACAAAATAGCGCCTAGATGACGTCATCAGTCATGGTCAAGGTTGAAAACCTTGCTGTGCTTTGTCCATGTACCTATGTCCATATGTGTGCCAGATTTCAAGGCATTTGATTGAGTCTTTTTCAAGTTATCTTGTTAAATAAAAACTGCCTTGAAATAAGAAAAATAAATAATAAAGGCGATTTTAACAAAATTATAAGGTTGTCTGTATTATTGACAGCCTAACTGATAAATAATTTTAAAAAGGCGATTTAAAAAATATTATAAGGTGGTCTATATTACTTACAGTCCACCTGATAAAAGAGAACAGTTATATGCTCGTATTTATGAAGATTTGCCAAGCAGATCTGAAGGTTGCGATATTGTTAAACTAACTTTTAAAGATTTCCTGCAAAAAAAAACTTTTTGAGGGGGGGGGGGGGTGGGGGTGGCTGGTAAAAGAATTCTTGCTGTCTTTAGAAGATGTGAACATGTAGTGCATGCAATTTGAAGTCTTATTTTTTTAAAGAAGTGTTACTTGTCAGGAAGCATATAATATCACTCCAAACAACAAAACAATGAATAATTCGATTTAAAAAAAAAAAAAAAATATTCCGTTCTTGTATAGCGCATATGATATTATGATAAAATATCTCTATGTGCTTCTTATAGACTGGATATTATTAGCCTGGCTTGAGTGTTTTCAAGGATTATCAAAATCCTACCATGTACCCACTCATTATGCGCGGGTCAAGTGTGATAATGTAAATGTTAATTAATTAATTAATTAATGTCTTGACACAGTGAATTATGGCCGTGGCAGGGGTTTGAACTTAGTACCTTGGGGCTTATAGTCTGGAGACTTATCGACTGGACCACAACAAAACAAAACTGGATTTAAAGAACCCAAAATGTATAACATAACATGCAATTCTATTTCTCTTCCACAGGTAATTGTCAATGTGTTGGATGCTAATGAGTTTCCACCAGTAGTGACGCAGCCCATCTTCACCATCAATGAGGGAGGAATCGGGGGCGAAGTGGTAGGGATCATCGAGGCCTATGACCCCGATGACCCTGATGACCCTAACCAGTCACTGTACTATGTGGTTGTCAGCTCACAACCGGAAGGTCAGCATGAATTTATATATACCTTCAAAGGTTGTGCCCAAGGCGCACTCAGTTGGATAGCTCTTGTACTTTTTGCCTTGTAGCTTTTAATGCTGAATATACTAGGTGTGTATGTGTTGGCTATTCCTCAACAATTTACCTACTAAGAATAATTGTAATGCTATTACTAGAACTTACACTGTATGTTTCCTGAAAACTGTACATGTACATCAATGTGCCTACATGTATAATTATACAGGGGATACCTACATGTGCATGCTTTTCGCATTCAGTATTAGTCAGGGAACAAGGAGCACATATTATGGTTATGTACACGTGTACCCACATTCTAATGTGGAAGGGGTAAACAAAGCTTGAGAGAAGCAAAATATGATGATAAATTCAAAATTTGATTGAATATGTATTCCATTTAATTTGATAGCATATAACATACATGTCTACATATTCATGACTTTATCTTTACATCAGCCCCAAATTATTTGTCTGATTTATTATCTTTCAAGTCGCATCCATTTGCATGTAACTTGCGAAGTACACAGGACAAGCCGCATCTAAACCTACCTCACACAAAAATAAAAGTAACTCTTGAAGATTGTGCTTTGGAGATTGAGCTTTGAACATACAACAATTGGAATAATCTACCACTAGACACAAGAAAAGCATCATCTGTTGCTGTCCATAAAGTTCTTTTGAAGACGCACTTGTTTTCAGGAGCTTTTGAATTATATTTTTGAAGTATTTTTTTATTGTGCATTAGTGCAGTATGTTATATTTATTTAGTACCTGCGCTATATATTATATAATTATTAAACTTTCTTCTCTTTGTTGGTATTTAGTTGGCAGCACGTTGTTTATTATCAACAATGTGACTGGGGAGATTATCACTACTGGACCGCTTGATAGAGATAGTGGTTTACATCCAGCCAGGGTCGATCTAGATCTGATCGTAAGTATTGTAAAATTCTCTCTTTCTCATGATGCTCATTGGATACCTGTGGGTAATGTCATGTCTTTTTATTGAGCAGGTGCAGAATGAAGCAGTGAGGTTGAATATTTTTATAAAGGAAGTTCCTACAGCTGTATCTCCCAATTTACTTTTATCTCTCAGATATCCTGTGTGTAGGCCTACTGATGCAATGTATAACTTCTTCCTTTGTACTTTTTATACATGTTTATAATATTATTTGTTAACATCTCTTTGCATATATCATATTGTTCAACTTACAAACAGATGGCTTCAGCCTGTGCTGCTGGTCGGTTTTTATACAACAATAAATAAATAATTAAGTAAGTAGATAGTTAGATAAATACATAAATAAATAAATATATGTTATCAGCTTGTCTCATACACCAAACTAAACCATCAATCTAATCTGACCACATTTCCTCCAGGTTTATGATGACGGCAATCCCAACCTCGGCACACCGACCACTGCCATCATCTACATCAATGACCTCAACGACAACCAGCCCATCTTTGACCGGCCCTTGTACGATGTGACGGTCGTAGAGGGTCAATATAATGACCCCATCATCACCGTGGTGGCCAATGATCCCGATCAGAACAGTAATCTCAGATACAAGATCCTTGGAGGAAACCTCAACAATACATTCGTACTCGTCGGTAAGTGTGTCCCAAAGATTTGTTAAGACTTGGATAACTCTTTGGTACTTTGGTAAGAAGAGGTAAGAAGTCAAGTTGTTGTCAACAGGGTGATTGTATATTTGAAATGGAAAGATAGTAATCATGATTGTATAAAAGTTGTTAATTATATTCGACCTTTGGAATGAAATTCTAAAAGAGTGATTGTTTATTCTTTAGTAATGTTTGAAAGGTCCTGTATTGGTGCTTTGATGCCTTTAAAAGAGAAAAAAGGGTCCCAGATGTACACTTAGTGATGAAGCACAGATTCCTTAAAAATCTATTTGTGAAGGTGGCAATAATTACAAATCAATGTAAACTGGCTACATGTACATGTATTAAACTATGCATTTGACTTTTTGCATTCATGGACCCCATATGTGATGTATGCAGAGCACAGTATTATGAAAAAATGAAAACCAGATACTTTATAAACTTATGCACATTGAATTTTCATATTTGTAAAACAGGTCTGTAAACTTGATGCAACAGTACGTAGCATATAATAATAATAATAATAATAATAGCTAGTTCTCATATAGCTCTGTTAAGAACCGAAGGCCCTCTCAAAGCGCTCTACAGATATATATATTATTACCCCGGTCATCGGATATAGACTTCAAGAAATTTTCAGTACACTATCATTTATATCCAATAGAAACCATGTTCGCTTTACATAATACTTCATTCTAATGTTCACGCTCTTAATGCAATTGCCTTTATGTTTGTTGAGTTGTCAAAAGTGTATGTGATCTTATTAAGTGATTATAATTATATATATGTACTTATTCCTTTTGATATTTCTGCAGATGGAGGCTTAATCCCGGTCAAACCACTGGACTTTGAGACGTTCACGAACTACAATCTGACCGTTGTGGTGACCGACGACAGCGGAAATAGAGATACGACCTACGTCGCGGTTACCGTAACCGACGCCAACGATCACAACCCCACGTTCGTTCCTGATCTCTACAGTCTTTCTGTGACTGAGAATGAACCTCCAGGTAGCATATGACCTTCTACTACTAGAATTCCTAATATGATAAGAACAGTTTATTTTACAATGCTATAATTGACTCCTTTTGGCCTGATTGCCAACTTCTGTGAACATCAGTTAATACAGAGACTGCATGTAGCTGAAATTGTGTCTTCCATCCTCTGGTGTAATTCCATGTTTATTGTCAGGTTTATACTAAATGTTAATAATGTTGATTAAATATTTCCAAAAGAAATTTGTTCAGCTTTATATACATTCTTCCAAACAATATCTACTGGAATTGGTCATATGAAATATTTTCTTTCTCAACACATTCTTATCTTGAGCAAACTCTGTATTTCGTAGTTATTTTGAATGTATACTTGTGCGTGTTGAAATTTGTATGTACATGTAGGGAGGATTAACTGAACAAACCTTTTGAGGAAAGATGTAAAGAAATGATCACTTTGGTAGTTTTAGGGCTAGGATTGAAACCTCCCGCATGTAAGGATTTAATTCAAAATTGATGAAAGTATTAAACAAAGGCCCTTAGGCAGTAAAATTGCACTCACTAATGGAAAATGCTGTTAGTTTCTTTTGTCATTTCAACAAAAGCAATCTAATTTGATTCCTTCTGATGCAGGCACACAGGTTGGGGTGGTAATGACCATCGACGGTGACACCCTTCCAGAGTACACCGACATCATCTACACCATCCTGACCGGCAACGGCCTCAGAAACTTCACCATCAACTCCACGACAGGCATCATCAACACGGCAACGATCCTGGATAGAGAGAAGACCAGCGAGTATGTTCTGACCATAGGAGCAGAGAATCCGGTCGGAGGAACAACGGGAACAGCAACGGTGAGGATTGTTAGGGTGATGTTTTCAAGAACATGCCGTTTACTATTTCATGTGAAAGTAAAAAGTGCAGAATTGTTCTTCAATCCATGCTACAATGTGTGACAGTTTTCAAGGTGGATGGTGCATTGCAAAAGGGAATTAATCAGATAGAGAAGGAGGAAAAAATTGAGACCGACTCGTAACAGGAAATATTCAAGATCCCCTAAAGATCTTTTATGTTCCTTGTTTTTACACTTTAGTTGTTTACTCTTGATTTAATCTTTATGTTTTTTCACAATTTATATGTTTGTGTGTTTTTATCATGTTCAATCATACATCTTTAAGTATTTTTACATATATGGATGAGTCATTTAAAGTGAATCTTGTATCATGAAATGTACATGTTTATCAATTTCAACAATGAAAATATTTGTTCCCAATAGTACACTTTACATGTTTCACATCATTTAGCTCATTAAATATCTCCTTCATCTTTGTGCAGGTTTCTATCATTGTGAGAGACGTCAACGACAATACCCCCACCTTTGAAGAGAATCCTTACACCTCCACCGTCACTACCAACACTCTCCTGGTAGACGTGCATGCTAATGACCCTGATGAAGGGGGCAACGGCATCGTCATCTATGAGATTGTATCCGGCAACGAAGATAGTAAGCTACCATCTTATCATTCTAAAAGGCAAATTTGTTTGTGGGCATGCCCGTAATTTTTGCTGTGTGGGTACAAGTGGTTAAGACACGGTGAGGTCAGTAAGAGGACGGTATGAGGACGGTGGGCCAGGACGAGGCCGTTATGGACCTGTTTGTGAGAACGGTGATGACTTGTCAAACTCATTAATTTTGCCCATATTGAACATGATATAAAAGATTACTTTATTCTCATGATGTAAGTATAAGCAGCTCAACAACAGTATTATATTATGTTACTCTTGTCTTAATACTCTCCTATCTAGTTATTTACTCTGCTCTACCCATCTCCTCTTCACACCTTCAGACTTCTTCCTCTCTTTCTTGCCCTCTCTGCATCCGTCTTTAGCTCATCTTTGTTTAAAATTGATTATCATGCGTGTTACCCAAGTTATTTTATTATAACTTAAAAACAATATTGTAACCACTTATGATTATTTCTAGCTGTAAATTCGTTATATCGTCGCTGTTTTCACGAAGTGACGGTAGTGAAAAAAAATTGCATTCACTTTGCGTTACGATTTTCCTCACTACCGTCACTTCGTGAAAACAAGGACGATATGTAAAATTCATACCAGAGAAAAACAAATTTCTGAATGAACAATAAATTTTCAATTTTAATTTCAATTATCAACTCTACCCCACCATAGATCGCTTCACAATAGACAACCGGACCGGGGTCATCACCCTTGTCAACCCACTGGAGAGTCAACTGATTAGGAATTACACCCTGGTGGTCATAGGTCATGACCTTGGAAACCCTCGGCTCCAGAGCAACACAACCGTCGACCTCCGCATCAACTACCTGGGTCTCAACGCCCCTCCGTCTTTCGTCCGACCGAACCAGGGCTCTACCGTGTTTATTACCGAGGTATGAAGTAGTATAGACAGAAAGAGTTTCTAATAATGAGGTATTTGCCATGGTAGGAACGAGACAAAAGCTTCTGAATAATGTAAGAGGTCGACAGCTGAGCTTCTTGGGTCATGTTATTCGAAAAAATGGTTTGGAAAATATTGCACAGACTGGAAGAATAGAGGGGAGGAGGCGTACTGGTAGAAGGAGGATTCTGTGGATGAGTATCTTAAGGAGTGGGATTTCTGAAAGTGGAATTGATCTCAGGGAGAATTAATTACTTCATAGAATATGGGACAGAGAGTTGTGGCATTCCATGGTCACCTATGTCCCAGGACATGGCACGTAAAGAAGAAGAAATGAAGTAGTGCTGTTGTCAAATTCATTTTTTTTTTTCTTTGTCAACATGGTGGTTCGACAAAGCGTGATTGGTAAAATGTTATTGTCTACAACAAGCACATTTTTTGTTTCCCTTGAAAATGGTTTCTCATTGAAACATGTACTAAAGGAACCTGTTTACAAAGACCACCTGTCTACAAAGACCACTTTTTGTGTTTCCCTTGGGCGGTTGCTGTAGACAGGTTTGACTGTATAAAGATATGATGTTGTAAACCACCTCAAATGAAGCAGCAGCAGACCTTTTTACATGTAAATGAATGGCAAGTGCGTGCAACAAGGGTCCCTGCGACCATTCAGTGAGCTCTGTGTATAATGAGATACAGAAAGGTGAAGTGACACACTTTACGTCATAAAGAAAAGGACGCCTTTTTTTGGCAGCATCATATCTGAACAATGGTTAAAGGGATAGTTGAGTTCTGTTTTCAGACCGCAAATGCCTTCAAAGTGCATGGTTATTTCTCTTATTCTTATCTATGGCATATATAGTGCCCTTTTAGAACCTAAAATTGCTATGAAGGAAATTTAATACCCCAGAATGTGTGAAATTTAGCCAATACGATCATACACAGTGACCGTTAATTAATTATTTAATTAAAAATAACAATACATGAGCCGGCTAATTGTGGATACAATATAAGCAACACGAAAATGCCAACAAAAAAGCCAACATCGGCATTGGCTGAAATACGACGTAAAAGGCGTTATTTTGTTTTTTTTCAACGGTTTTTTTCAAATTTGCAAAATGTCTAATATTTATGGTGGTACACAAGTATTAGAAAATGTTATATTTCAGCCGTCTCTGAACCGATTTTGATCAAACAAAGATAACTTTGTCGTTTAAATATTATGTTCTTTCAAATTTGACACTCAGTTTTTCATTATCTCACAACAAAATTATTTTGTGTAGCGCCCTCTGCAACAGAACTCAACTATCCCTTTAACAATAATTAAGAAACACTGGAACAGCTCAATAAGAAGTTTTACTTAAAACACAATCATTATAAGCGGGAACTCACACAATGTTAACTGAATTTTGTTCATTATTTAATGTTGAATTTACCATTCAATATTATTATCATGATTATATTTCCAATATCAGAATCTTGTCTGTGTCATATGGAATATTCCTCATGATTTTCAATTGATTTTAAGATGAATGATAAATAAACACCATAGAAGAAGATGCCAAAACATCTGGCATCAGTCATATGGATCCCACAGACAGGAAAGCTTGGAAAGCAGCCATTAAGGAAATGAAATGTCCGACCCCACAAAGTGGGACAAATGGACTTTAATGTTCAAGAATGATGTTCTAGAATGAGTGACTAATGTACAAATCATTCATGTTTCTTACACAGAATACAACAAATTTTCAAACTATTTCTGTTTTCTACAGAACAATCCTCTTGGTCTTTTGATCATCAATGCCTTCGCCGTGGATGATGATGTTGGAGCTAACGGAGTGGTCGATTACAGCATTCTCCCCAACTTTGACTACAGTGACTTCACCATCGACCCGGTGACTGGCGATATCACCATACTGGTGTCAGCTGACAGAGAGATAAAGGATTCTTATACTGTACGTTTGTCAAAAAAGTTTTTCAAAATTGTTGTCAGTGTACTTAGCTTGCATGAACTTTTTAGTTTAAATGATGTGAATGATTTTGTTCGTTGAGTGATTGATTGACTGATTTATTGATTAAATGGTTAGTTAAGTAATTGGTTAAGTGATTAATTGATTGATTGATTGATTAAATTGTTAGTTAAGTGATTGGTTAAGTGATTGATTATTTCATTTATTAAATAATAGATGGATTGAAATGTTGACTGGTTTGTTGACTGAGTGGTTGTTTTCGGTTAGTTGGTTGGTTAGTTAGTTGATCATTTCATTGATTTATACTATTTCTGTTAGAATGCAGAATTGACATATATTTGCTCATAGTTTTTCCTAAATCTTTTCTTCAAAATGAAGAACTACATTATAATTGCCTCTGCAATTTTCCCCCCTTTCATCTACAGTTGACAGTAGTAGCTACTGACAGAGGAGACCCAAACCTTTCAACCAGTTCCACATTTGTCATCAGGGTACTTGATGAAAACGATGACAATCCTGCCTTCCCGAGACCAGATGTGAGTATTCTTTAGGGTTCCATGCTCTCCTGGAAATCTGAGAAACCTGGAAAAATGAGTTTCCTTTTTTTTATCCACTGAAACGTTCTGGGAATTAAGAAAAATCTGGGAAAATTCAGGGAGTTTCATTTATCCAGAGAGAAAGTAGTCATTTGTGTATCCACTTTGGGAAAACGTTTCAAAACGTATTTTGAGATGCTTCGATCGTCCTGCAAATAGTTTGAAATAATGGTACTGGATTTTTTTTCAATGCTATCAGGGGAAAAACAGCAAGCTTTGTTTTGTTTTGTTTGTGTAGCTGATTATATGTAGCCCATGATGTAAAATCGTTATATCACAACAATTGAAGCATTTTGAATCCCTGATATATTAAAAACTCAGCACTGTTCTAAATTTTTACCTTGTTTCAGGGTATGAACAATCCCATCGTGCTGAATCTGAATGTGTTTGAGAATGCCAATATCAGCGACCTGGTCGGAACTGTTGATGGTGCCATTGATCTAGACCTGGGGGTAAATGGACAAATCTTCTACCACATCGTCGGTGAGTGTAATGTGATTGTAATATGATTTTACAATAAAACCTGTCTATTATTAAGGCCATACAAGAAAAACAGAAATAACTGGCCTTAGTGGACAGCTAGCCTTTTTATAGCACATATTTCTTTGTACAGGGAGAAAATTTGTAGGTACCTTCTCAGGGATAATTTCAACTGTGATGTTCTTCCAAGCAGACATCCTACATGTACTGTATATATCTGTCAAGGTATCTTCTTCCAGTTTGGATTTTGGTTGCAGCATTTTCCCACAAATCTCTGTTCTACCTGTCACCTTAGTACACTCTTGCAGTATCATTCCACTCCATGTCTTAATGTTCCCCTCCTAGCTTATAGTTCTTGGTTCCCCTCTTGGTCTGACATCCAGAAAATAAGAAAGCTCACCATTATCATTCATCATCAGAACTCAACCCTCTCTCTCTCTACCTTTAAATCATACAGATAGCACAGTCGGTGGTATCTTTGTGATCAACTCCACGACCGGAGTAGTCACCGTGAACGGCACCCTCGATCGGGAAGACATCGGCGTCCACACCATTTACATCCTAGCAACCAACGACGCTACCTACAATAGGACGGGACCCTATAACGTATTGGACAATATCTCACTGAAAGAAGTCAAGATTACTCTGTTGGACATCAACGACAATGAATTCACCAGTACTGTCAAATCTGCTTGTAAGTGCTTTTTCTACTCTTCTTCTTCTTCTTCTTCTTCCTCTACCTCTTTTTCTTTTCCTTCTTCTTCTTCTCCTTCTTTTTCTTTTTCTTCTCCTTCTCCTACTTTTTCTCCTTCTTTTCAAAGCTTCTTTTTCTCCTTTTTTTCTCCTTCTTCTTCTTCATCTTTTCCTTTCTTGTATCCTTCAAACTTCTATTTCTATTTCACATGAATACAAATACGCATGAAGTTAACCATTAAACTAACCTCTTGATATGAATATTATATAAATTCTATTAAACTTGGGAAACTAGGTAACTAAACGCTTTGATTGAAAAGTGCTTGTAAAGTACAACTAGTTTTACCCACAATTTTAAAGGCTGGCTGTACTAGTTCAGCCAGAAGGGATTAAACCACACAGCAAAGGTCACTGAAAGGTGGCTATCTCATTAAATCAGCTCTCAATTATCATAAGAAAAAGAGGATCATGGGGGACCAACATGCACCGATTGTGGAAGTTTTTTTATATAGAGGGAGCAAGTAGCTACAAGTAGGACAGTGTGGCTTAAAGTCAATTCAATTCATTCATTTTACATTTTAAAACAATGTGAATACAAGGGCAAAATACAGCAATAAAATCACAAAATAAAAGCGAATTGCTTGTGGACAGAGTAACAGTTTTACAAAACATTCCTCATAGCCTGACTATGTCGCAATACATTTCCTGGTGACTTCATACTTTGTTAACTGGAAAGAAAACAAGGAACTATTGACAACTGAATTCAGTATACTATTGTCATGGATTCCAAGGTTTCAATGAGGGAAAATATGAATCATGAAAAAGGTGTGATTATAAAAAAAGTTCAAGACCTTTTTGGAGAGAAGTTCTTTTGTTCCAATGTATATTTACAGTTGTGACCGTCTTTTTGAAGCTTTTTATTTCCAAGGTTTTGCTGGTGCGCATATTAGGGACCTTTCAAAAGGGGACCCTAGAGCATATACAGGACGGAGAGTTTAATTCACCGTGATGGTCCTCGCTCAGTGCAACCGTCCACTTTTGCAAACCATTTTGATTTCTTGAGGTTGGCGGAATCATGTGACATTTTTATTGTTTGGTCTGTTGTTGGTCGGGTGTCGGTCTCGTTGGTGTGACGACGGTTTTATGCTTGACTATCCATTTCTCTTTATTATTATCCTTCCTTCTACCTGGTGGAGTGGCATCATGGGGCACAATCGGACCCCCTACCAGGCTACCACCAAATAAAACACCTGCCTCACCCCCCCCCCCCTTCCACATCCCCGGGTGGCAGTGCCGCAAAGAGAGCTTGAGCCATGCTTTTCTAATGAGTCTGCCTTTCAGGTATAATGAAACAAGTTAAGAGCTCTTCCCCTTTCCCCATAGTCCAGAATCTGGGCGTTGTTTTCCTCTTTTGCGGTCTCTCATTCCCTACTTATACCTTAACCCTGAAAAGGCCGGGCTATTTGAGGTCTTAGTACGGCTGGGGCGGGGGGGGGGGGGCATTTGCAGGCATGTCAAGTGAAGTCTATAGAATACTATGATGATTTCAATTTTTTTTTAAATTCACTCATTTGCATATTTATGGTAATTTATGCAAATAAAGGTCATCAAAATCACATTTTTACCCATAAATCTTATATTATTCATATTAAAGCACTCTTTTTCACTAAATGTATTCATTAGACCATTTGGAATAATAATATGACAACAAGTTTGGAAGAGCCAACTTATTCCTTATGTTATCTCTTGTTTTGATTATTTCCTATGTATTTCACTGACTCGTACGCCCAGCCCATGTGTTGTGATTTCTTAAAATAAAGACATTCAGATTCTGGACTACTTAATCCCGCGCCGCTTTCTTTCTCTCTCTCTCTCTCTTTCTATCTTTCTCATTTCCAACCCCTCCTTGTCTCCCCCTGCCTCTCTTCTTTCTCTTAATCACACACCTTTACAAGTAACGTGGTCTCAACAACATAATTCCACATGACATTTCTCTCCCACGCTGATAATGGATTTTTTTTCTGTTTTTTTCTACACGATGAAGTGTCCTTCTGATCCTTATGATTTTAATTTGCATTGTGACATACCAGGGGCAAGGTAAAATAAATAGCAGTACTTCCACCCTCCATTATCCATTATTATTGAATGAATGAATTTATATTCTTAACCAGGGATCAGTTTAAAACGGACATTGATCCTGGTTTGACTGTACTGATCCCAAACATCACAAGAACACTTGGTCTGACGGCGGGGATTGCTTGCGACAGTTTTACTCACTTCTGTCTCGTGTCAGGGGAAGTTGCCCGTCGTTATGCCTGATTCCAAGATGGTCCCTTCCATGCTTGTCACATGTTCTTCAGGAGTCATTCTGATTTTACATTATTTTGAGACTGATTGTTTCCGTGCATAGGCGCCAAATCCCCTACCCTCCCCCTCAATAAGTAGGGAGGGGTTCTATTTCCGCCCTCCAAATAGTTCTTTGAGCCTTTGTAATTTGTGTTACAAGCAAATCAAGAAATTTGTACAAACTTCCAATACAATTAGCTATGTTGACAAACGCATGACTGCTCTCGTTTCAACCAAAAGGATAGTATGGGAAGCTGTACTACGCAAAGTCCTCTCTGCTCTATAAAGATCACTACGGTTGCAAAATTAGCAAATTTTGAAAACGACATTGCTTTACATCCAATAGCTGTAAAATCAAACGCATTACCCCCAAATTGATGATCTTGGTGCCATTTCACTCAAAAGGAAATTTTTTACTTAATAAAACAAAAGACAATGACATTGTGTCAATTATTTTGTTGAGCCTGGGTTCCCTCCCCTGGCCCAAAAAATAGCTTTAAAAAAAATATGGTAACGTTAATTTTACCTTAAAAAAAAAAAAAAAAGAGGAGTACGGGCCCCCTCCCTTTCAAAAGGGGGGGGGGGAGGGAGGGGTGTTGAGTTTTACAAAACTAGAGCTCGGTACCCAAGCCCCACCCCCCCCCCCCTGTTGAACAAAACAAATTATTGCTCACTACCCCCCCCCCCCCCCCCCCACTTATTCAGCCTGCCAGCTAATAACTCGGCGCTAAATATTTTCTCGGACCCCCTCCCTCGCCGCAGGTTGGATCTGCCCGTTTGGGTCACCCTGTACTTTATGAAATAATATAATATCAATTTGATATCATATTGTATATATATATTTTGTTATATTACATTATGTTAATTTTATTTACTCTAGACGCCTGCATGTTTGATAACCCTTGTCAAAATGAAGGGATCTGCATGGAGGATGAAGACAATCCTGGTGACGTGAAGTGTGAATGTCCAGATGAATATGGCGGACTTTACTGTGAGGAATCTATCCCAAGTAAGTGCATTATCACAATTTCAATTACATTTGAATTCTATCATTTGTTATCCATCTATATATTCAAGGCATTCAAGGAATTTTTCTAGTATACCGGAGTATAAGACTTCTCATTCTTAGTGGTTAATCCAAAACTACTATACCCAATTGTGATGAAATTTAATCAGGGATCATCTAGTGAGCTGCGACATGCCAATTGGCATATGTACCGGTAGGGACTTGGTAGATCAAGGCCAACGACGTGGCTTTCATAATCTTTCAAGATATCGGGAAAGAGTTGTGTGATGACTCGAAATGCTGATGTGATGTTGATGATGCTGATGATGATGAAGTTTACAAGTTTTTTTTACTATATAGGACTTTCCTTAATCCCTTATTTATCCGCCACAAAAGTGGGTTTTATTTACCTCAATAAATCAATGTATCTACCTATTATTTGCTAGTTTACCTAAACGACGCAGCTATCGAGAATTTAAAACGTCATATTCGCACATGCCCCACCCCAGTACATTGCCTTCCCAGGGTTCATATGCACAACCGCACGTTCACTATCTTCCACTTTTTATTCTCGCACGCCAAGAGAGAACATCTACAGCTACAGTCACTAGTAAAAATTGCGGATTTTTATGCCTCCGTTACGAAACCGGAGGCATTATGTTTACGGGTTGTCCGTCCGTACGTCCCGTTCTTGTGAATGCGTTATCTCAAGAACCGACTGATGGATTCCTGCCAAACTTTGATCATGTATGTAACTTGCAGAGCCAATGAATTGATTCGATTTTGGGGTCACGAGGTCAAAGGTCAAAGGTCACATGGCTCATTATGTATGCAAAAATAGCTTGTGATCACATTATCTCAAGAATCGATGGATGAATTCCTGCCCTACTTAGGTCATGTGTGTATCTTGCTGAAGCAATGAACTGAATATATTTTGGAGTCATGAGGTCAAGTTCGAAGGTCATGGGGCTCATTATGTATGCAGAAATAGCTTGTGATCACATTATCATTAGAACCGATGGATGGAGTACCATCAATTAACTCAATGTATGTTTCTTGCAAAGCCAATGAACTGAGTGAATGTTGGGGTCATGAGGTCAAAGATCAAAGGGTCATACATGTATATGAGAAATAGCTTGTAATCACAATATTCTGAGAACCTGTCAATGGATTACAATCGAAATTGAATTCGAAAAATTGCTTCTGTTTTGGTTTGTAAAATTGCTCTATGACGGAGGCATCATTTTTCGACTGCGCGCAGACGAAGTTCCATCTAGTTTGTACTTTTGGCAAGGCTTAGTTATTTTTTGCGCATTTGATTCCATCATTTTAATTACTATTAATTTGGTGGTACAGGTTCCGGTCACATATTTTATTTAGGCAGAAATTGATCTTCATTTCTGCCACAAAAGTGGGTTCTATTTACCTCAATAAATCAATGTATCTACCTATTATTTGCTAGTTTACCTAAACGACGCAGCTACAGAGAATTTAAAACGTCACATTCGCGCATGCCCCTCCCCAATAAATCGCCTTCCCAGGTTCATATGTGCAACCGCACGCCCGCCATCTTCCACTTTCTATTCTCGCACGCCGAGAGAGAACGTCTACAGCTACAGTCACTACTCAAAATTCGGGATTTTTGTACTTTTGGCAAGGCTTAGTTAGTTTTTGCGCATTTGATTACGTCATTTGTGTTAAGACCTCTGTGATCACCCTGTACGCCTTTGGTAGGCGCGATTGTAGAGTTTCTGTTCTCCTTTTTTGTTAGGGGTAGAGCCCTTTCCAAGTTTCATGGATACCGCTCGGCCTTCGCCACCTGTTTTGTCGGGGTTCCGGCTGGCGCGGGAGTTTCTAATTCCCATTTCCTATCTGAGTTGCTGTTTTCGTTTTTCTACAATGACCAGCTAACCCTAAGCTGTCTCCTCTTTTGGGCCTACCTATGGTTTTAGAAGCATTTCTAAGCCTCCCTTTGGACCGATGTTTAAAGCTTTACTCCTACGTTTGTCGGTGAAGGCTCTGCTCCTCATCACTTTTGGGCAGAGAGGGAGGATTCTCCGTGCCCTGTGGGCATTGGTCTTGTACCCAGGCCATCCTGTTTTGGCTTAGAGCCAGTCAGTTTCCTCTGGGCCGGTTGAGGTTTTCCTCAACCCTCTCTTTGACTTCTCCTGGGTCCATGAAGGGTTAAATCTGGTGCCCAATGAGTGCATTCGATTGGTACTTGGTCAGGACCAAAGGTTTTTTGTGAGGGCGTCCATTCCAGCTCTTCCTCGTTACCCAGGGACCTTTTTCCCCTGTGTCCAAGGTTCCATTTCCGGCATATTTCGAGGTATTGGTCTAAAGGATCTTTTGGGGGCGCTTTCTGGCGGTCTCCCATTTCTTTAGTTCTTTTATCTCAGGGACGTTCCTTCTTGGGGTGGTACTGTTCGCCACTTTGTCCCTGAGAGCGGCTTTGTCTGCCATTGATCTCCATTAATCCCCTTCTTCTTGGGACATGCCACCCGGTCTTATCTGTGCTGGTCTAGCAAATAATAGGTAGATACATTTATTTATTGAGGTAAATCAGAAAAATAAGAACTAATGTTATTATTAATTATATAAATCTATGTATCTACCTATGTCCCTCCCTCTGTCCCCTCTCCTTGCCCGGCAACATGTCCAAAGCGTTGTCTCTGGCGGCCTGTCAAAGAGGAAGATGGCGGGCATGGGGTTGCGCACGTGAACCCTGGGAGGGTGATGTATTGCGGTGGTGCATGCGAGAATTTGACGTTTTAAGTTCTCGATAGCTGCGTAGTTTAGGTTAACTAGCAAATAATAGGTAGATACAAAGATTTATATAGTAAATAATTAGTTCTAATTGTTCTGTTTGACGCAAGAATATATCAACAACCTTCTCAGTAAGGCCACCACATGGTGTAACTGTAAGCCTTTAGCCGTTAAAAATTACGGGGGATTACACATTTCTAAAATAATGTTACCGTTTGATTCATATTCTAGACGCCTGCATGTTTGATAACCCTTGTCAAAATGAAGGGACCTGCATGGATGATGAAGACAATCCTGGTAACGTGAAGTGTGTATGTCTAGATGGGTATAGTGGACTGGACTGTGGAGAAGCTACCCCAAGTAAGTGCATTTCTTAGATACAATCTACGCATGGGCAGATAAAGGTAATTTGTGTCAAAATTGTAAAAACTGGATTTGTGCTCATGAAAGTTATGTCATTTGTTCACTGACAACATATCCTCTGATACACAGGTGGAAGCATTCTTCTCAAAAGATATTCATTTAGCACCTCCAATACGGTACTTCCTCAGCCATTATAAATGTACAAAGTGGAAGCTTCCATGTGTAAAAGATCTGTGGATGTTTCGGGGTCATTAGTTAGAAAGCTAACTACGAAATGGTCTATTTCCTTTGCATTCAATTAAAGCTTATCATAGGTTCCAAGGAGAGCCCTATGTCTGCGCACCGAACAATTGATTTAATATTTTCTGAGATGTATGCTAACATTCCGCTTGTGCATAATCTGATATGTTCCGTAAAATCTATTTCAATCAAATTCAATTGAATTCAAATAATTTTATTTCCATTACTCAATCAATTTTTTTTAATTCCTGACATGAAATGAATATCAATGACATTTGCAATATCACATAGATAATACAAATTATTTGTAATTATAATCATCTTTGATGTCGACAATTAATTAAAGCATTTTAGGATACAAAATATATAAGCATATTTTTCTAAATTATCCAAACTATCCTGATGAAATTATTCAGCCAAATTGACATTTTATCAATTTTGCAGGGTACAATCTGAACATATTAATAGCTGCACTTGCTGGTTTAGCAGTATTCATGTCACTCGTCAGTCTCATTATGATTTGGTAAGTACCTTTTATTCACAGTATTTTACCCGTGTTGTGATGTAACTTGTCTATTCATTTCATAGGTGTTGTTTTTTTTCTCTCATTTTTTGAGAGATAAGACACTGTTTTATTAATGAGCCAATCAAGCAATCAATTAAATTATGCTATTTAGGCAACAACCCCTTCTTCTATTTTCAGAACAATAACAAATTTCAGTTCCTTTACAATTTGAAGAAATATGCAGAAATGCACTGACACGGATCATTTAAAAAGTGATAGTAAGAGTGATATCCTTCACTAGAATAAACTTGAAATAAAGATTCTTGTTGCTTTCATTTCGACTCATCCAGTGCCAAGGCGAGGAAAACGTCTTCTGCGAGGAATGAGCTGAACGTATCTGATTCATGTCAACGGCCACCCCAATCGGTGAACAACCAACCCGACCTCGAGGCGGTGGCTAATGAACCTAACGTACCGAATGGTCCGATGAGAGAAAACACGGACATGGCAAACAGGCCCCTTCCATCTTTACCTGACCAACCAGGAGCGATTGTCCATGACTATGCGACCACGTTGAGACCATTAATGAGACAAAGAAGCAATCATAGTTTTGTTTGAGTTTATTGGTTTCACATTTCACATGCAGATTCAATATAGATAACAAAATCTACAGAAAGACAAATTGTTTCATAATACAAAAAATTATACTAATTGACAAATTTGAATCAGACTACAAAATTATATATATCACCCATTGGGTGATATATATAATATATTGGCAATATGTTTGACAACTATAATCATGTTAAAGGTACTTAAATGTCCCATTTACAGCTAACATCAAATTCTTTAGAACTTTGCAGGAATTAGGAATATGTCACGTATGTCTAATCTGTGAAATCTAAATGATAGCAGTGTCCTTTTATTCAAATTATGCATGGAAACCTGTTTACTTTGGGCCTGCGAAAAGGACATAGTACCTTTAAAGGTACTTTGTCCCATTTGAAGGCCAACATTTTTTTTAAAGGCTATATTCCAACGGCATTGGAAAGAAAATACTAATTTAGAACTTCCCTCAAAACGATTTTGATTTTCGTTTCTTGATTTTCTTAGTCGTATTGATAACATGATATTATCTGACTACTTGTATTTGCAATCGTAGAAATATATAATTATGATTTTGATTTTCGTTTCTTGATTTTCTTAGTCGTATTGATAACATGATATTATCTGACTACTTGTATTTGCAATCGTAGAAATATATAAAATGCGCTTGCACTTTTGGAGTAATGTACTCAGTATTTCTTTCTTGAAATTAAAGGACAAGTCCACTCGAAAAATAACTTACTCTTTATAAAAGCAGGGAAATCAGACAAACCAATCAAAAAAAAGTTTGAGCAAAATCAGATAACTAATAAGAAAGTAATAAATTTTTTGAAAAAGTATGTATGCCAAGATGGTTATCAGTTTGTGACGTCATGTCCTCACTATTTATCAATTGCTCTATATGGTTTAATCCCATTAATTTCCCTTTTTATTTCCTAAAACTTGATTTCCCCATGCCTTTGCCGAGGTTATATGATTTGTATCATATTGCGTGCATGACATTTCACAAATATTTTATGAACTTTGAAGAATTTATACTATTTTCTGAATATTGTATATTCATAATTATTGATTTTTATATAAATAATTTATCAAAATTCAAATTTTTCATGATTTAACTGGAAAACTGACTCTATATTTAATAATGCATCCACACAAAAACATTTTACTATTAATCTAACTTGGATGCTGGTGTGAAGAAATAAGATTCTTAAGGAGAAAATAGGAAATTTATATCATCAATATAAAAAAAAAAAAAATAGTGGATAGTGAGGACATGACGTCACAGACTCATGAGTGAGTTGCCAATCCGTCTAGTGATTTTCAAAGTTTTTAATGTCATTAAAATTCACAACTTTCTTATTAGTTATCCGATTTTGCTCAGACCTTTTTTGATTGGTTAGTCTGATTTTTCTGCTTCTATTGAAAGTAAGTTATTTTTGGAGTTGACTTGGGCTTTAAACATAAGAGAGGATTAATTGAATGTATGTTCAGAAGAGTACAAGTCTTTAAAAAAAAATATAACTGAATTAGAAAGGTTATTTGAAGACGGTATTAGCAGTATTCGTAGGAATAAACAAATGGTACGAATCGAAAATGCTAGACTAAAGTAGAAACAATATAGATTATATTATTTAATTTCTTGAGACAATGGCTGCCAAATAGTATGTTAGTTTGTATAATATGGCAATTAAGAAAAGTATTTTTCTGTAGTATGAATATGGTTTAGCCAAATACTGGGTCTCTTTTCTTATCAACAACAGTTATAGGGCAGCTTTTCTTCTAAATGAATTATGTATTTGTTTGCATTTAATGTACTTTGCTTCTCTGTTAGTAAATTTGTAATATACATGTATAGTAGTATTTGTTTTAATGCGTTTAATTGCTGTCATTTCCTTTTCCAGTCAAGATCTTTACAAAAAATAAAAAAATATTTTGTATGTGAAATAAAATAAAATGACTGCTGAATTAACAAATTTTCTGCTCAACTTGCGAAAGAAAGCTTACATTATTACGCTTCGTAATATAATAACGGTATTATAAATGTATATATTATATTAATATTAATAGGGTGATCACACTGCCTGTGCACACAGTCTGCCCCATGCACACACACACACACACACACACACACACACACACACACGCGACAGCAGTCAGTTGGTAGAAATAGCAATTTTCGTAAATTTATTTTTAAAAAACTGAACAATATTTTTTAAATTTTTATTTCACATATCTTTTAAGCATACCTTTAACTACAATTCTGTGTAGTTTTAATTGTTATAGTCATGTGGGAAATACGTTAAATTATTAATCAGAATATTGTCTTTTCAGCCATGTGTGACATGGCCCGCTGATCGCCCATTGACTGTTATTCTGCGCTGTGAAAATGCACCTCAATGTATAAACTCCCCTACAAAAATGCAATATCCTCATGTGTTTCACTCATTGAATCAATTTGTTGTTCACACTCAAGGTAGCCACAACTGTACTGGGGTAACCAAATTTTGTTTTTCTTTGAAATTCAGTCCCTGTGGAATGTTTTGGCCTGTTGAATGGTTTCTCGGAAAATCGTCATAAATCCTCAAATCTGACATTTTTTTAAAAGAAAACTATACTGTGATGTAGCTGAAAGTCTGCAAATTCTGAGCATTTGATCGGTTTTTCTGAATAATTTGTGAAACATATGTGGAAATAGCTGTAACGGTGATCCAAGTAATTTCCATCGCCATTTTTTATTGGCATTGCAAAAATATTTGGAATTTAATGTTAATATTTGGTGTAAATATGATCTATAATATATAATTTTAAAAATGCCAACAAAATGAACAGTTTGACTTTCCTATATATATAATTAGCTGAAATGACCTAATTTGCATATTTGATGAATATTCATAATTTTTGTTTTTCTTCAAACAAAATATATTTCCATACCTGTCTGATATACATAGGTTTCATTGATGTATCATGTTCGGTTTTGATATGATTACATATGTGCATATTGATTAGGCGGACTTAAATATTTTCACAACTTTTTCATATCTGCAGATTCGCAAAAATGGCAAAAATGACTTATTTTGTTTGCTTCTGTTTTCAAAACGGTAATAGATATATGAATTTTCTTTTTTGTATTTTTTACCACAAAGATGATTTTTTAGTGTCTGATAATTTAATTTATTATTTGTGTCCAAGAAAGTGTTGAATTAAGTTGTCAACTTTGTCGAATTTTGCCATTTTTGCCATTTTCGCCAATTTGACCATTTCTGGCAGGTTTTTCGGTAATTTTGCGATATAAAAAAAATGGTATAAAATCACAACGCATTGACCGATTTCAGTTCTGTTTTTTGTTTTTTGAAGCTTTCATAAAGCTTGATCATTTGCAATCATCAAATAACATGTGTTTGTTGTGCTTATTTTTGGTGTGCTATACCTAATATTAAGGTGTAATCTAATGTCGGTGGTGTAGTGACGGGGCTATTCACGGTGGCCACTTGCTCCTCAAAAGCTTTCCACAGACCCCCCCCCCTCCCTCTCCACCCCCACCGGCAATACACAGACGGAATTACACATACACACGCTAAAGCACACATAGGCGCATACCCACACACGCAATATAGTAAGTTTTAGAAAAAGTGAAATATGGGGAAAGATAGATAAATAAAGAGAAAGAAGGGAGAGAGAGAGCAGAGAAGGAGAAAAAATAGGGAGAACGGATGAAAGGGATATGATGTTTTACTTTTCGGGCTCATTACAGTATCGGTGGCGTGTAGGTCAGTAAACTGTCATGTAGTGATCAAATTATTTCTCACAGTACCCCCTCCCCCAACCTCCCTTATCTGTATTCCTCGCTCATATCCCTCTCTATATAAAACCATGGTTACCATGGTTCTTTTTTTATAAGGGTATATCTCTCTTGCGCTCTCTTTCTCTATCTCTCTCATCCCCTCTTTCTCTCACTAGCTCCTTCCCACCCGTTTTCTCCATCTCCCAGCCCCCCCCCCTCTCTCTATATATATATCTATCTTTCCCGCCATCTCTCTTTTCTCTCTCACACTCTTCCTCTGTCATTCCTTTCTCTCCACCCCCATCTCTCGCCCTCTAACTTAATTATCTTCATTCAGCGTATCAACATCATTCAGCATAACATCGTCACATTCTCATTTGCTCGCATTCTCAACGTCATATATAATATTCGAATTTCTCTCTTGGAAACCACATATTAGTAGTATTTGTACAAAAGTATCAAGATGAATAGGAATAATATCAAGGCTCAAATTTATATTACCACACAACATACTCGTCACTTTTGTATTATAGTTTAATCTTGCCTCAGCTTACATACTGTAACTCAGTATGGGGGTGTAGAGATATGAGTGTGTGGTATTGTGAATGGATATTTGAAAGCGTGTTCACTCGTCACACAACATAACTCTTATTTTTATTTAGCTACGAGGAAGGAAGGTTGCACTGACAATAAAATACATGAAACAAAGTATTCCCTTTTCGTTAATTTATTGGGTACTGAACAAAGTTGACAATGCACTTGCAAAGTGCAGTCAAGCAAATATAGCAGACTTGAAAATGTGAATATTGCACGGGGATTACATAATGATCAAAGATGAGAATGAACATGAATAAATGGAATGGACATGAATAAATGGAATGACACGAATAACAGCTTACGACTGAATAGAAATAACGTCGAAAGTCCAATGAAGAAGAAGAGAGTTGAGAACGAAGGAAGGGGCTCACGCGACGAAATGTGCGGAGGCTTGAAGAGGCAGAGATGTAGCTTCGTTGTCGTGGCTGAAGAGCCGTGAAGAATCTCGACGCAGACGCTCGTGATGAAAATGATGAAGCTCTCAGGCGAGAATAGAAGAGAAGAGATGTGGCGCTCGACGACGGAACAGTGGGTCGTTCGATGTCGGAGGCGAAGAGTAGAAATGTTGACATCAAGCCGGTGGTGAAATAAGACGGGAGCAGTGAGTCGCTCGATGAATGATCCGGACTTTGATGGAGAAATTCATCAGAGTTACAGTGAGTCGAACTTGTTGATGAAAAGACGAACTACGGTGAGTCGAGCTCGTATAAGAAAAGAGCTACCGG